AATTAAGAAAAAACTAATATATTTTTCGTTTCAAACCATTAAAAGTGTGTTATTTGAATGTTTACCACTCGCGTATACTACCGACAATACTTCAAAATTATAAATGTAATGTGACAAAGTTTAAGATATTTTATGCTGTAAAAACCATAATAGAGCAATTAATTACAGTTGTAACTAATATTGGGTTCTCATTATTCTTAGGTCACTCATAACCAATCATCCTTGGATTGGACGAGGAAAAACGATACTTCACAGTGTTATTTTTGTAAGGGCGCCTGCCTGCGACCTTAATGAAATCCGATTAGTTATGCAATTAGATTTAGATTAGGCATATTATCACAGTCAGAAATGTAATTAAGGTTGTATGTCTTCTAGACTATTAGCCACTATCTGCACTCACTTAAAACATAATATTGCAATATAAACGGTTTAAAACGCGATATAATAAATATAAATTATATAATAATTATACTTATTTGAAAATTATTTTAACTACAGGCCGATGTTTCGGATGCTTTGGAGTAACCGTGGTCACGGGGAGATTAAAGTGGAGGGTCTCTGTCCTCGGGCCGTAGTTTATGATATTTCAAATAAGTTTAAGTAATACATATCGCGTTTTAAACCGTTAAAGTGTTTTATTTAAATGAGAAGTACTCGCGTAAGACTGTATTTAATACTGCAATAGTTTAAAAAAAACATTCCGAGAAACGACAGGACGCCGTGAGTCAGTTTTGCAAAGACCCAGCCAGTTACAACCGAACAGATGGAGCTAGCGTAGCGATCTTATCTTAGTACTTAGCGTAGTATCTTGAGTCCCCCAACGACTATGGCTGTTGCAAAGCATCAGATGATTGTAAATAAGTATAACTAATAGAGTTCGCCTTTAAAGCCGACGAAAGTGTTTTTGAATAACAAAACCCAATTTCCAACGAAAGTGGAAATAAAAATACAAAACTTCTGCTAGTGGGAATCGCAGTAATTTGTTATACGGACTCCGCGAATCGGTAATATCCCTTCGCAATATCGAAGACGCCTGACGAAGTTTCAAAAAAACAACATGATTCCGTTCTGACCGATTGCTTCCTTAGTGATATTCCTAAAGAAATCAATAAAGCTAACGAGTTTGTTTGTCTGAACGCGATAATCTCAGGAATTTCTAGTTCGAATTGAAACATTCTTTTGATGTTGGTTGGACCATAAATGGGGGAAGGCTTTAGGCAAAAATTTGTTGCGACTAATAGAAGCGAAGACAGGGATAAATGTGGGGAAAACGAGGAAAGCTATTTAAGCTTTCGTTGGGTTAGGTTAGGTAAACGGTTCTAGAGACCAAAAAAAATTGTATGATTTAATAATTCTTCTTTTAAATGATAAAAAAAATGTCCACGACGGTATACGTCTATTTTGTAAGATTAATACTCAAGAATAGCGGGGCGCGGACGGTGTCGTGGGTTAACAGCTATAATTTATAAGGTTGAGGAGGTTGTTTGCAATATAAATATTATGATGCCTAAAATAACTATTTTATGCGGACGAAGTCGCGGGCACAGCTAATTATTAAATTAAGCATTGTGCACATTATCGAAGTCTTTCTAATCTACGCTGTCTGACCCACAAGCGGCTCCTATGAACATTAATTTATGTATGAAATCTTTACAACTGAAATATATATGTTGTTACTGTAATATTAGTTTGTAGAATAGTTATTAGAAAAAAGTTTAAAAAATACGTATTTAAAGAGACTCAAATGCAAAAAACATGACTTTTTATTAATGATGTCATTGTGGGCTAGTAGACGTTTAAAATAACACACTTAGATTTATAACTGAACCGTATAATTAGTGATTAAATCGAATAGTAATAATATTGTTTAAAAGTGCTCTTTATTATAAACTAGCTGTGTCAGCGACTTCGTCCGCGTAGAATAGTTATCTGAGCATAAATTTGTCCGCGTCGTTCTTACAAGTTATCTTAAATAGACTTGTAGTGTCGCGGACATATTTTAGATTATTTAAAGAGGAATATATAACCTTCCCCGATATATGCTTTAACCGACTTTAATACGAACAAGTAGCTGAGTTTAGCGCGTTCAAACAAACATACAAGCTTTTCAGCTTTATATTTGAGTATATATTCGTATAAGAAATGTATCATAAAAATAGTACACAACACTTATGATGTTGATTAAACTTTTTTTTTAAATTAAATAACACCGAATAATGTACTTTGTTTAAAAAAAATTAAACAACAAAGCACTTTGCGTATATTTTTGACTTAGAATAATGATGACAATTCATTACATTTAAATAAGAAGGGATATTCAAGGCTGTAATACATAATATGTTTATAAAATAGACAGGTCAATAAATAATATAAATATATCTACAATTAATAACAAAACCGGAAAGGCGAGTCCAGGTATATTTTATCTTTGGGTTCATGGCTATGTAATATTTATGACGTATGAAATGTTTTTATATCGCAAACTTGTGGAAAGAAAATTTTCCGTAGTTTTAAGCAACTGAATTATCTTTATTCTGTGCTCTGTCTCTAACCAAAACTAATGATTATCTTTTCTTAGGGCCTTTAACGCATTAACGTTGGAATCGAACTTTAGGCCGTCAAAATCGCTTTGTAATTGTTTTTAATATAAGACGCTAACACAAAAATGTTTAAACGGAAATATGCCTATATGCAGCTATTCATTACGTTTTTGTCCACTCACATAACCTCAACAACAATTTGTGATTATAGGAGTCGGCAACAATGGTGAAATTATCGTGTCGTGTGTCAATCATACATAATTGGGATATGCTTCGTCGCATGCGCATATTGACTATAATTATTTCTTTGTCATAATGCTAACGACGTGTCTTTTCGGAAAACAATTTTGTGACATTGAAACTGACTTATGAAAGACTTTTGGGAACTTACAATAAAAAAAACTAACGTCGAAATGGAACACATTTAACGGTTTGAAACGTAAAATGAACTACTAGTTGAACTTATTTACAATTAATTTTAACTACACCTTTAAATAAAACACTATAAGGACTTGCAATGCGAAAAAATGGTATTGTAATGATGGCGTTATTATTTGTTTTGACTCTGACATAAGGGACACCCTACATCGTCTCCCCCCCCCCCCCCCATGGCCGTCGAGCCATAGTTATAAGTTAAATAATATACATATTTCGCATTTTTTTAACTTATAAATCGGTTTAAATATTAATACAAGTAACCTAGTAGATAGTAAAAATCTTTCTCCCGACGTCTTCAAACAACCCTCACTTGGTATCGGAGATTTAGAGCCTTCCGCGATTCCGTTACAGCTGAAATATTCGCTGAAGCAGAATGACACAGCTATTTAAAATGTGTCCCGAATCGAAGGGGTGTAACAAGGGTTCAGACATACGTTGCCCGAGATTGAATATCTGTAGTGCGGCCTTCTGGTGTCGAGAGGGTTTTTATTGATTGCATGCATTCAAATTGCTCACTTCGATCCTGTGATGGAACACCCTTACAAGTCTATAGGCTAGGACAGATTACTTCCGCTAACCCACGTATAACTTAAGAATGATATTAAAAAATAAACGAAATAGTTAGATTGGAGGAGACACTGTATTGATCATGGGCTTGGCTGTGTAAAAAGATATAATCGCTTAATCTATTCATTTTAACGTATTAATCTCCAACTGCTGGTTTAACACCACGGTGCTATAGAGCGTTATGATATAAGACTGCTAAATCTTTATAACACAAAATACATGTCTAAATAAAACACTAACGGTTTAAAACGCGATATTGTCACGGGGACCACGGCTGCTGCAAAGCATCCGAAACGTCGGGCCGAAGTTAAAAATAATTTTCAAGTAAGTTTAACTAATATATCGCGTTTTAAACCGTTAAAGTGTTTTATTTAAATGTGTACTCCTCGCGTAAACTATAGACAGTATTTGTTGAAAAAGTGTTTTTTTCATCAAGCAATATCTGCTTAACATAGCAAACAATTTATATACATTCCCAAATTCTGGGGCCGTAAACCGTCCAGACTTGAGGGCTGAGGCTTATTCATAATTTATATTAATTGAGGGAGAAACTTGAGACAAAAGTTTTTAGCTCAGTCGTTTAAAAGAACAATTCGTACCAACTGTGCGCTGAGCCGTAAATATCGGTGTCTTTGCTTCTTAATATTGGGACTCTCATAATAAACCGTAGAAGTATCCAGTTAATAGGATCCATTTACTTTAATATGAACACTAATACCCCTGTAATTTGGTATTATTTTTTGTTTTCTTCTATGGGTACCCTATTAACGAGATCTTACAACAAAGAGTTTTTATTTTACTTTCTACAAGACAGAGTCAAGAATCTATAACAATTAAAGGATAAAGGCGGACTAGAGGAAAACTTATGAGTTTTCTCGTTCGTTACTACAATAGTTAGTTCGTTAATACACATATTCCCTAGGTTTATAAAATTAAAAAAAATCTTTATTTTATAATATTCTATTATATAAGTTGAAAATTCTATTTTAGTTTGAAAAGAGAAGAAAGGGCGAAAGCGTAAGGTAGCGTCGTTGGTAAAAGTGGAGGTCAGGCGAACCTAAGACCTAACCTAAACCTAAGACTCGAAGGTCTCGTTATTTCATCTATTTTTTCAGTTGTAAATAGATATTTTCTTTTATTTATTGAATATGGTATATCTCAATTAAACTTTTCTCTACTGAAGGAGTAACTTATAATTGTTCTTATATATCTATGGTTCTTAATTAAGATCCATTATAAGTTGTAAAAAAATTACGACACAGGCAGGACACAGCTCCGTGCTCCGACCAATTAAGCTACCGTGACCTACACATCATTGTCGACTTTTTTTAACCGATTGATACATGTACTCTATCGAAATTACAAAGTTAACCTTTTAAAACTTTACTATTTTTACGTGAATACGTAATTCTTCTTTGGGGGTTGAAAATAAGAATTGTTGAAATCCATTTGAGTATGGCAAATTCAGTGGATGCCCTAACTGCAAATAGAGGCGGTATTAAGTCATGAATCTGACAAATATGTCAGTTATTATGAGCAGATGCTGCGCCAGATACCTTTCGAATTTCTGAATGGAAATGAGATCGGAAGCCGCCGGTTTTGAAACTCTACATTTATCAATACACTAATAAAGGGGTAGAAGAAATATCGGCATGATGTCCGGGTCACGAACACCGTTCACAGATGAAAAAGTGAAGTGTTCCGTTGTGGTTTCATTTTGTGGACTGCCCAAAACTCGTCGACAGTTTGCATTTTGTTTATATGTTGTACGGCTGGGGTATATCACCTTCCATCAAGTAAAAATAATACTCGTCCACTCCTGTTATGCACACTAGATGTCATCTGTTATAAGAACTAAAACCTCTTTTAATAACGCGTTATATTAGTGAAACTTGTTTGAAAATGATTTTTAACTTCGGCCCGACGTCACGGGGAGACCGTCACGTCTAAACCGTTAAAGTGTTTTATTTAAATGTGTACTACTCGCGTAAACTAGATAGACAACTAAAACCGTATTTGATAGATTTTTTTAATAGTCTTGATATTTTTAAAAATCTACAAATTAGTAGAAACTTAATCAGACCCATATAATCCAAACGACTTATTAAACATACATGTCACTAAAACCTTAGTAAGGTTAGTTGCTATAGATAATAAATATTGTTTTATTTTTTTTAATCAAGTATAGACAATTCTATATATTTGATTATCTATTGCTAATTAAAAATTTATTATGAGAGTGGTACACATAAAATGAACCACTTTTAACCGCGTAAAACACGAGTTGTATAAATAAACTTATATTACAGCTTTACCATAATGATCTATATATGGATATCTCATCGTCGGATCCACGTTAAAATTTAATTTAAATAATTACGCTTATAATAAGGCTTAACAAATGCTGAATATATAAATGTAATATATAAAGAAATATGTCATATTTAACATTAAAAACTGTATTTTATATTTTTATTACATGAGAAGTACACATTTAAATAAAACGCTTTTAATGGTTTAAAACGCGAAATGTATTACTGAAAGTTAGTTCACCAATAATTAAAAGTAATAGTAATTTTCTATGTCCCCGTGTGCACGGCTGCTGCAAAGCATACATTTCGCGTTTTAAACTGTTAACAGTGTTTCATTTATTTCAAACAGCTAAACTCTTAGCATATGGCTGTTTGTACAATATCCGTTGTTTCAAAACGCTAAGTTCATAACGAGAAATGCCGCCTGACAGGATTGTATTTACGACATCAACTTACGCAATCAGCTCTCGCATTAAAGCAAACTATTAATTTACATTTCGGAATCAGTCTAGAATTACTACTGCATGTAATTACTATAGTACGGATTGCTATTCACAAGTTTGTTCGTTCTGAGTTCGTAAACAAGTAGTTCAGAGCGATACTGTTCTGCTAGAAGACGTTTCTGCGTTTGTAGTAGTGTATTGTACGCACAGTGGGTAAAACCAGAGAAAACCAGTAAAAACCAGTCAAAGCTGTTTCAATAAAAAACTTTAATGCGGTTTAAAACGCGTTTTATTAGTTAAACTTATTTGCTTTGCAGGAGCCGTGGTCATGGGGAGATTGTCTGAGTCTCAAGCATCCGAAATGTCGGGCCAAAGTTAAAAATCATTTTTAAATAAGTTTAACTAATATATCGCGTTTTAAACCGTTAAAGTGTTTTATTTAAATGTGTACTACTCGCATAAACTATAGACAGTATTTAGTAGAACACAAACATAAATACGTCTTAAAAATTTAACTGTTTGTTTGATTCGATGGATTCCGTCAATATCATTCTTTCTTTACGCCTGGCAATAATTTCCCTCGGTTAATAAATTATGTGCAGTTATAAAGAAAAAAGCAAAAAATAATTTATAAAAATATCCACTGTGGAAGTCCTATCAAATTTTGACAACCTTTACAGAGATTGAGTGGAACACAGTCGAAATTATAATTTTGTTTAAAATTATAAAGGTCACTCACTCTGTAACACTTTTAACTGTTTGAAACACAAATTATAAATATAATATAATATTTATACACTGTTTATTTTGTAATATTTTATATTAGTTAATTTATATTCATTTATATATTTATTTTGAACTACCGCCCAGTGTTTCATCGTATCCTCCGTGACCACGCTGCAAAGGCATCCGAACCGTCAAACTAATTTTAAAAAAAGTTAAAATAAATTTTGAATAAGTGAAGTAATATATTTCGTTTTAAACAGTTAAAAGTGTTTTATTTACACGTGAGCTACTCTCGTGAACTACAATAATATTGATTTCAAGAAGTAACTATAATCATATATAGTAAAGCAATAAACATAATAAAATCGCTTTACTACCTTTCTAGATATTTATGTATCTAGTATAAAATATACCATTGCTATTATTTATAGTACAAGTATACTATAACAAGGTATAGTACACTTCTTAAAATGAACTAAAAAATAAATATCCATAACCCAGGGTTAACTGTTAATTCGTAACCAACGAACTTACAAACCAGAGACGTCATTCAAAATATTTACAGACGCTTTTGTTATTTATATTTTGTCTCACGTTTAAGATGTTAACGAATAAAAAAATGTCATTTCCTCTAAACAGGTGTAATGACCTGAGTAATAACTGGTCTTAACTGAGGAACCAAGCATTATATCTACAAGTATACATATCAAATAGCATACTTACATTTAAGGTATCCGATCAAATGGATCTTTTAAATTTCTACTTCTTGGGATATGAAATAGTGGGGATTAGTTTAGTATGATTTCTCGTTCCGAGATACTATTTTATAAAGAATAATCATTAATTAATACATATTTAAATTACTATAAACTGTTTAAAACGCGAAATATATTAATTAACTAATTTGGTACGCCGCTGTCTACAACTGGTGTAAAGCATCCGATATCTGGGCTTTTTAGTGTAATGGTAGCAATAATGAACGAGTCTTAGGTTAGATCACCACCGGGTCCAACATTGTTCTAAACAATTTATAATTTTTCTGAAACATGTTGAACTTTGTTCGGAAATCTAGATATTAAATAGGTAGAAGAAATTCCGTCCGGAGCGTGAACCAGCGTGCACTGATGAAACAGCTATCAAATATAATCACGTCTCTGTTTCGGTATGTGGATTTCCAAATATCCAAAGCCAAAATAGGCTGACAGTGCATTTTGTTCAGATGTTATATGACTGGGGTATGTCACCTACCATCAATTCAAACCGATTCACATCTGTCATACTCTTTAAAATAAACACGTCAGGACGTAGTAAAAATTAATAAAAGCGTTTTTTTTTAATGCGTACAACTTGCGTAATTTATAGGAATTACATCCCCTAAGCAGGGGTAGGTATGATACAAGGCAATACCAAAAAACTCTTCAAACGTACAGAAAAAGTCTAGTTACATTAAAATCTTTCATACAGCCTTCATTTCCGTCCATTACTCGTAATGACATACTATTTCACAATAAAGCAATATGGCAATGAACGTTGAGTTACATAAGACATTTTTCTTACAAGAAAATCACTGTCCTCGTTCCTCAACTGTCAAAATCATTATGACCGGTCTATTTATGTTAATATCAACTGTATCAATTATCACCTCAAGGTTACAAAAAATAGTCTTAACTGTGTGTTATATGATGCACATCAACTGCCTAATCTATACTAATATTATAACGCTGGAGAGTTTGTTTATTTGAAGGCGCTCATCTCAGGAATCTCTACTGGTTTGAGTTGTTGTTTTTGGATAGAGAATTTATCGATGTAGGCTTTAGGTTATAAAAACATCATGCTACGACTGATAAAAGGGATGATACAGTGGGAAATGTTAAAAAGGGGGAAAATACGATCTAAAAGAATAATCTTGACAAGAACCGTTTTATGGGACCGTTTTATAACATTTCGTCGAAATAGTTTATATGGAAAAATAAAGTTTGCCAGGTCAGCTAGTTAATAACAAACGTATTGTTTTGCATTTTGAGGGAGGTTCGAGTTACGTAATAAAATAAATCATTTGCAGGAGAACGCCGCATTCTGCATAACGTTTCTGGTGAATTCCGCTCCGGAGAGCTGACTTGCATTCTTGGACCGTCCGGGGCTGGAAAATCTACTCTTCTCAATATCCTTGCTGGTTACATGTAAGTTTAAAATTAATTCAGTAAAGCGACTTTTCATATGTCTGCAGTTTACGCGAGTAGTACACATTTAAATCAAACATTTTAACGGTTAAAAACGTGATATATATTAGTTAAACTTATATGAACATAATTTTAACTTCGGCCCGACGTTACCAACAAATACTGACAGATGGCGCTAGCGTAGCAATCATTACTTTGACGTCAGAGACATTTTCCATCTTTAGTCTCCGCGTGACCACGGCTGCTGCAAAGCATCCGAAACGTCGGACCAAGGTTAAAAATAATGTTCAAATAAGTTTAACTATTATATATCGCGTTTTAAACCGTAAAAGTGTTTTATTCCAAAGTAGTACTTTAAATTTAAAAATGATCCAGATACGTTCTGGATCATTTTTAAATATAATTTATTAGCTGAATCAGTGACTCCGTCCGTGTGGAATAGTTATTTTGAACATTAAATTTGTTTGCAAACCTCCTAATCAACTCTTCAGCCTTATAGTAAAGATATTTAAAGTTTACAGTTATTTATTAAACAGTAACTTTTTTTGCCTTTTCCAGGTCAAATGGCGTCAACGGAAGGATTTCAGTAAACGGACAGGCTCGAGATATGAGAGTGTTCAAGAAGCTCAGCAGCTACATCATGCAGGATGACCTGCTGCAACCGAGACTGACTGTCAGCGAGTCCATGAAAATCGCTGCCGACCTGAAACTTGGGAAAGAATTGGGCGATGCTGAGAAAGAATTAATCGTGAGGAAAATATTTGTAAAAATACAAAAGCACTGTTACGAGAGGCTGTAATTAAACAATCCTATTGAAAAGTGCGATTTAAGTAAAACACATTTAACGGTTTAAAACGTCAAATTTATCAGTTAACTTTTATTTTATAATAACTACGACTCCGGCTTTGCAGGAGTAGACACGGGAGACTAAAGGTGGTGGGTCCTTAATGTCAAAGTTATTTGAAAATGTATATCAGAAGCCAGCTATCACTCAATAGACCAAACCTCTTTGTTCGTGTTCCACGAATTATTCAGGACCAAATCAGATTTACATTACCCAGAACAAGACAGCAAATAGATTAGACAACACCTGCAATCAAGTATCACGTAAATAATGCATCTCCAAATACCAGGATACGGGCACTGGTTTGTTGTGTGTGAATAATTTACCTTAAACTTCGACTTGGTGCACTTGAAACTACTTGATACACACTTGAACAATTGTTTAACGTAATTTCAATGTTTTTGCAAAATCTATATACTTTTATGATATACTAGCTGTGTCAGCGACTTCGTCCGCGTAAAAAAGTTATTTTGGGCATCCAAATTTGTTTTTGCTCTTCTTTATAAATTTAAACTGCCGACGACATCGGTTGCATCCCATCGCTCGCGACTCATCGTTCGAGTCCTGTCGTTCTTGTAAGTTAGTCTTAAAAGAGAGACATATAGTATCACGGACATTTTGTTAGATTATTTAAAGAGAAATCATTCCTCTATTCATATTTTTGGGGTGTCTTGGACCCTATTCGCAGCGTACGCATCAGAAACCCACAGAGATGAAAAAATTGCCCAGTTTTCTTCACATTTCCCGCTGTATCTAAAAGTAACACAGAATGATTGAGAAGATCTCGCAAGAGACTCACCGTCATTTTAACATAAGAATCAATATAAAAGTAGAAGGTAAATGGTGGAACTACATCATGCAACGCTATTGTCGTTGGTACTGCAACATTTTAAAAAATTATTAAAGTGATATTAAAATTAAAAAGATATTATATACTTAAATAAGATATACTACCCTACACTCTCTACGTCTCTACAGTAATAAGCAATTACTAATTACACAAATTTTTACAGCGCTCGCTGAAATTTTTAACGCATCGATTAAAACCAAAAACGTTTTTTAGCTCAGTTTACAATTGTTCGTAATATTTTTCACGAGATTTTAAATCATTTTTTCTTAAACCGATATACTACTGATTGAACTTAATTTTACATATTTAATTATTTAAAATTATTTTAATTCAAGCTGCATACACCCCACTTCCCGTCCTTGGAAAAATATTAATTTATGACTTCCGTCAAAAATAATAATTTCGAGCCAAAATAAATAGCGTTATATTAAAGCAATTTTGTAATTATTTTTATGAGCTTTAATCTCATTCATGTTTTAAATGTTAATAAAATTACATTTGCATAAATCATAATGTAGTAGACATTTTTCGTGACTGAATGTCGATATTAAATGCTACTAATCTTCGACTTCCGAATCGGGATCCGCATACTTTACTAGGTGAAGACATTTTATATGAATAGTTATAACATCGAAATTATTTAATTCGATTAAAAAATCGAAAATAACTTTTTAAAAAAATCGATTCGGGCAGGACTTAAACCGGCATCGTCAGCGTTCCGTGCTGTTGCTCTACCAATTGAGCTACCGAGTAAGCTAACCTTTTCTTTTTATTTACTGAAGTATTTAGTGAAAATTTAAAATAATACAATTGGCAAATGTCAAACAAATATTGGCATTTGTAAGAGGACCCCTATACTATCTTAAATATTTATGTTATTTTATACTAGCAGTGTCAGCGACTTCGTTCGCGTAGAATAGTTACTTTGTGAAAAAAAATGTTTTTGCAAACCATCTTTATAATTTAAGCTGACACCCACGACGTCAGCCGCATCGAGTCGTAGTAGATTTTAGCCATTGTTTTCACATTTCCCTCTGTTTTTTAACTCCTATTATTTACAGCGCGATGTTATTTTTACATAAAAATAATTTTTCAATTCAAACCAGTAGTTCCTGAGATTAGCGCGTGCAAACAAACTCTTCAGCTTTATATATTATATTCGTATAGATTACTAAAGTTAAAATCAAACTCAATTTATTGCATGTGTTTTCTGCGTGCGTTTAAGAATTATTTTTGAGTGAAACTAACTCAAAAGTAATATATATAATTATTGTATCATTTAAACCTCTAAAGAACATAGTTTATTTTTATAATATATATACATAAATTATTGTTTATATGAAAATTTAAATAAGTATTATACTTGTAACTGAGATTATAATTATTAAACTATTTAGTAACAGACATTGATAGACAGTTGCGTCTTATGATAATACTGAAACTTATCACGTATTTTCGTAATTAAAGTACAAGATTCGTAAAATTAAGTTTTAAAATTAACAGGCAGCAGTGATATTTTTAACTACCCGCAAATTTTATTTTAAAAATATTCATATTTCTATGAAAATAATAATATCAATATAGAAACACATAAAAAGACAATCTAACGTAATAAAATACTTTTAACGGTTTGAAACGCTATATTTAGTCACACAACACAAAAGTACGCAATACTAAACGCAGACGCATATTATCTAGATTCTAGGCCAGCAGTAAGCGGTCGAGGACAAACAAAGTTCATTTATTTCAATCTGCTAATAGTCATGTTGTGTTGTCACGTACAAATTGCTTAATTACTCTTTATTGAATGGTATAAATCATTTAGCTTTTACGAAGTGAAATGACAAACGTAGCCTTCTTGAAATAATCTAGGCCGTACGGAATAAGGTTATATAGGAGGCCCGAAAAGTCACTTGATGGAAGGTGTCAGCCATATAATATATCGACGAAATGCGTTGTCGAACTATTTTGACTTTGGATATTCGGAAATCCAGAGTGAAACCGACACGCGATTGAACTTCACAGCTTTTTAGCTGTGGACGTTGGTTCGCGTTTCGAACGGAATTTTGATATTCCAACCACCTTTTGAATATGAAGATTTTCACATGTTTCAAAAGTGTAAATTGATTAGAAACATGAATGAAATGATTATGTAGAAACATGATATACCCATCATGTTTCTACATCATCAACCGGGATCCATTAATTACAATCTCTATAACGGGCTCGTCAAACAGACGAAAGTATAAAGACATTTTTTTGTGTTTGGGCTTTTGTTATTTTCAATTATTTTACTGAAGACATTTGTTTTTATTTCAGGTGGAAGAAATCCTTCAGACGATCGGTCTATGGCAACACCGTGATACCATGTCACATAACCTCTCCGGTGGTCAATCAAAAAGGCTATCCGTCGCTTTGGAATTAGTCAACAACCCTCCAATTATGTTTCTTGATGAACCAACAACGTGAGTAATCAATTGTCAAAGCTATATTCTAAAAACCGAAAATTACCAAACCGGTTTGTTGTTTAGTACTTATATTAATATCTAGTTTCGTAACAATGTGACGGGTTCGTTGGTCTAACGGTAGCAATGAATAATCACCAACGGGTCAGCAGTTCGATTCCCAACATGTTACAAAAACACTTTCAAAAGACCATGATATCCTGTATGAAAATACGGACATTTGCTCACGGGCTGTCGTCCAATGATGAAATAACGGTGTACTAATCCGCGTCTTAGTCTCAGTCTGTTGACTTCAATACTTCGGAAAGCAGAGAACCCTGTTAAGTTGTTATTTGGCTGTATTTTACCATCCATAAAGTAAAAAAATATATAATACTGTCTGTAGTTTACGCGAGTAGTACACATTTAAATAAAACACTTTAACGGTTTAAAACGCGATATATTAGTTAAATTTATTTGAAAATGATTATTAACTTCGGCCCGACGTTTCGGATGCTTTGCAGCAGCCGTGATCACGGGGAGACAAAGACGGCTGTTAAAGTGTTTTATTTCAATAATATACTGTCTGCAGTTTACGCCAGTAATAAATAATTTAAAACACTTATAACGTTTCAAAGCGAGATATATATTAGTTAACATATTTACAATTTATTTTAATAGTTAACTGTTTTATTTAAAAAGGATCGTTAGATCAATTTTGCGCGCGCGATTGGCGCCGCGAGGCTTTTGCTTTATAAATTTAATTGACATTTACTGATAATTATGCTATGAAACGAAATATCCGTAGTCAAATTAATACCTGTACATTAAAATTTTATCTGTTCTTATTGGACCACACGATAACATCCTGCTATTTCAAATTATTAAAACCTCTGTAATGCATACTTTATTACCACAAAGCTTAGATTGAAAACCACTTCCTTTTGTTTGTTTATTTGAAATCAAACCTCGGATTAAGTCAAACAGCATACATCCTATATAATTCGAAAATATATTGTTTACATACATCAAAGTTCTAAATACAATAATTTAAATACGTTTAGCCCAGACGAACTTTGGTTTCTAAAAACACGGTATGTATATATAATCTTTACTAAATGTATTTTTAGATAATATTTCTGAATCCCAATGCACTGAATGGCAATCAACTTGATTGACGTGACAATTTACTATTTTTTCTAACTTTGACGTCGAAGTTTTTAAACTAAGAAGAAGAAGAATTTTGACGTCATTGCGCTGTCTCTCTAAATATAATTTTTTGAAGGGCGCGTTGGTCTAATGGTTGCAATGTATGGTTTATAATCGACGGGTCGTGGGTTCAATCTGGACTGGGTACAACTTGTTTATAATCAGTTTATAATTAATCTGAAACATGTTGGACTTCGTCTGGGTATCTGGATATTAAATTAATTAACTTCGAAAATCTCGCCCGGATCACGAATGAACTAGCCGTGAAGTTAAATTGTGTAGATTTCCAATGTGCAAAGCCAATATGGGTCGACATCGCATCTAGTTGGGATTGTTATATGGCTGGGTTATTTCACATTCCATCAAGTGAACCTTGCCGCTCGTTGGTCTAATGGTAGCAATGAATGGCTAATAATTAACGGGTCGTAGTTCGATCCTTAACGGGTCGTAGTTTGATCCCTACCGGGTCCAACATTTTTCAAAATAATATATAATTTTTCTGAATCGTGTTGGTCATCGTCTAGTCTATATATCAAATGGGTGGTTGGAATATCCAAATTTCGTCGGGACCACGAACCATCGTCCACAGATGAAAGGCCGTGAAGCTTAATCGCGGGTAGGTTTCAGTCTGTGGACTTCCTATATCTTTACTATAGGCTGTCATCAAGTGAACGCCAAGCTTGTCTGTCCTCGTCTATCACAAAAAGAAATAAAGACAGATGTGTAAGATAAGTTTGGGTACAGAATATGTAAAGGGACATTTGTATACTCTGTGCCCAGTCCTTAACTGAATTACACGAAATACCATGTACACAATAAGAAGTAATTGGCTTAATCACCGAAATCGCCGTAACGTTTTATTGCGCATAAACCCGGATCGTGTTTGGAAAATTGAAACGTTTTCCACTGATACTACATTTTATCTTTTTTTCGAACCCCTTCTCTCCCGAATCTCCTCTTATTTACATTCGCGTTCTGATTGCAGGTTTTTTATTACACACCTTTAGGGAGACGTAATAAAACGTAAATGTTAATAAAATATATTAAATTCCTCTAATAAAACAAAACGTAAAATTACAGTTATCTTTAAAAAATATTAGCGATAACTTTAAGTAATTACTTAATATGAATAGGTCCTAATAGTTAGACGAAAATCCAGATCGATGGACCACTTAACGCGTAACGTAACGTTATTTTACCAAACTTCAAGTTTTTACTGTAAAAATTATATTGTTATAATTGGAGTTATTGGCTTTCATGCGAAAATATCCGGTTTATTTGTTATATTATCAATATAAACGATAACGGGTTGTAAACCGCCAGTGTGGAAAAATTAAAAGTAAGGTCTAAAACCTTAAATTTTAAACTTATTCGCAAAGTAATTTAACTGCTTTGCATCAGCTGTGGTCACGGGTCGCTGCGTTATCATATACATTTCGCCTCTTTTAACCGTTCTCAGTGTTTTCTTTAAATGTTTATGTACTACCCGCGTTATAGACAGTACTAAAAATACTCAAAGTTTCACATCTACCGATAGGAGAATAAGATATGTTATGCTTAATGCGCTTTGTACGTTTTTTCAAACCGGCTATGGACCAGTAGATATCTACTGTCTAAGTAAGACATGTTTTCGGGATTTTGGGCGGGATTCGAACGCTGAAATCTAACGTGTGTATTGAACAGTTACTTAACCTTCATATATCTCATTTCAGAGGCCTGGATATCGTCTCCATCCGACAGCTGGTAGTTCTTCTACGCCTGCTGTCACGCCAGGGTCGCACCATCATCTGCACTGTCCACCAACCTTCTGCATCTCTATTCTCTCTTTTCGACAGGGTTTATGTCCTGTCAAGAGGACTTTGTTGTTACCAGGTAAGAAAATAATATGAAATTATAAAATAAAGGTTAGGATAAATCGTCCGATATATTGTTAAAATTGTGCAGTTCAGTTAAAGTTATAATTGCAATTAATTATTTCTTAACAAACAAAACGATTTATGATATTACTGAATAAAATATCTATATATACAAACATTAGAAATATATTTATCTATGACAATACATAGCGAAAATGTCCATACATGCATCGTAATTTTCCTATTATTTTTAAATATATATATAATACAATAAAAGAGAATGAGAGAGAAGGGATGTTTCACCAAAAATCATTTTTGAGTCGAAGTAGAAGACTAGAAATTATATTTGATTATATTGTCTCCCCGTGACCACGGCTCCTGCGAAGCAATCGAAACGTCGGACCGTAGTTAAAATAACTTTCAAAAAAGTTTAACTAATATATATCGCGTTTTAAACAGTTCAAGTGATTTATTTAAATATATTTGATTATATTTTTTTTATAGTTAAAAATATAAATTTGTTTATCCTGTTCATATTATTGATGTTTATAATTGGTAACGAGATTTTGACAGCGACCCCGATCGTTAACCTACAGGTAAGACAAGATAATTCTACCCCCTACTACGCAGTAAAATTCTCTGCCCTTAAGTGGCAAAGTTTGATTATCTCCGTCGTACTAATTAAGAAAACTTTGAACTGCCGGATGCGCTCATCAAAAAGTTTTTAACCTGTGTCAAATAATTCGTTGATGAACCGCGAACTTCGTGACAGGAAGTCTGAGCTTGCTCCTTGGGAGTTTCTCTTTTTTATACTTCACACTTGAAGGGCTAGACTACCTTCATTAGTAAATTGGGATCTACAGCAATACTTCATTAAACATTTGTTATTGCGATACATTCTGGAGAATGGTGTGAAATCCTTGTTATAATCTTATAGAATTTCAGGAAGTTTCGCAGGTTGGGTTAGGGTCCCTACCCTAGTTACTAGAACTAAGGGTAGTTCTGATAGACTAACGTCTTATTTTTGCTCTATAGTGCTTTAGAAAGGAATTTGCACTTTTTTAATAAGGGAATCCTATTTTATTTATTCCGTCTTTTAAAAGTCTGTATCTCAAAAACAATAACAAACAATCGTAATTCATAGATTGTAATTATAAATTATAATTATTTTGTAATAAAAATATTTAAGAAGACCCCGATACAACAAATTATTGACGGGCGCGTTAGTGTAACGGCAGCACAGATGAAAGAGTCAAGTTTAATCGCGTTTCAATTTCAGTCTGTAGATTTCCGGATATCCAAAACCAATATAGGTCGACAGAACACCTTGTTTAGTCGTTATAATTATATATTATTTCACCTACCATCAAATTAACCCTATCTGTCTGTCTTCTATATCATAAAAAAAAACTAATATATATCTTTGCCGCTTACATTTGTAAACAAATCCACATCTCCCTTTGCCATTTGGCCTTGTATTTTACATATTAATCTCCTGTCTCTCATTAACATTTATAATAATCGCATACGCATCGATAACACACATATAAAATTCTGTTTACAATCTTCCATCGACAATTCTGTTTGATTCTCGCTTTGGTGAGCTTTCGCGAACTGACTTGGCTCAAACGTACGCTTCCTGCACTTTGATCTCGTCACTAATTGCACAAATACTGGACGAAGGCGTAACTTCAAACTTATACTTTATACTAACTTAGCATGGTTGATAGACGGCGTAAGCATGTTGATGCATTATTCGAATTAAGCTTTCCCTACGGATACAACATTACATAGATTCTTGTCTCTTAGTAAGCATTAGTTTAAATAAAGCACTAACGGTTCAAAACGCGCAATAAAGTTAAACTTATTTGAAGATAATTTTAACTACGGTCCCACGTTCCGGATGCTTCGCAGCAGCCGCGGTCACGAAGAGTCTAAAGAGGACTAATGTATATCGCGTTTTAAACCGTTAAAGTGTTTTATTTAAATGTGTACTATTCGCATAAACTAGAGACAGTATTTAGACATTAATGTAACAAATAGGTACTATAGACAAACAAAACTCTCTGATAATGAGTATTCTAAAATTTTGATAGACCTTCGTTCTCGTTGAACCAGGAAGCCAAGCCAGTGTCGAAAATTCACCAAAGGTATCTACGAGCACCATCTTAAGTCCCTACTACAATAAATCAAATAAAATAAAAAATCTATTTCTTCAATATGATTCCATATACATACATAGTGCTTAAAGACTGTCCGTATTCCCCCCACTAGGTGAATGAAATAATCTTGAACCCTAAAGATATTATCCCAAGTATTATTTTTATATGGCACTTTATTGTTAATATTTTAATTTATACAAGTCCTTACCTAAGAATACGAAAGCGTTAAAAAAATCCGTGATTATGACAGTTTTCATGAACACCGTAGATAATATTTTTTTTTAGTAATAGTTACTCAAAAAATATTTCTATTTAGAAATAATCTAAATGAATACTGACCCAAATCAAATAAACTACATTATAATGAAACCGAACTAGATATCTGTGCTTATGTTTATCCAAGTAGGAAGCTTGTTCTTGAAACTTGAGAGGAACTTGGTCATACTGAACATTGGAAGGGTTAAACACAACTCGGAATCGACTTGAACTCTCTTGAAATACCATTTCCGTTATATCAAATGCAGTCATAGAGAAGTCTTATAGCCTTGACTTGATATCTAAAAGCATATGATTTTTATTAAAACTTTACAATGTAATAAGTTTTGCTTCTTAGTCCAGAACTTTTTCCAACATCCCAGATACCCATTATTATTCCCAAATGTTTTTTTACTTTATAAAGGCTTTTATGTCTATAACTAGCTGTGCCAGGGTATCAAAATTATGTTGCAATCTTCCTCATCTTTAGAAATCATAGCTCCGTTTTTAAATACGAATCAGTAGTTCCTGGGATTAGCGCGTTCAAACTAACAAACTTAACAACTTTTTGTATTTTGCTTTGTAATATTAGTATAGATAAAATCTAAGGTTAATTACTTTTACTAGGTTTTATAAAGCATTAGGAATATCCAAATCATATATTACATAAAATTTATAATTAGTCTCTCACAAAGACTAATTATTTCAAAACATTTTCCTTGTAGATTGATTATTGTTAAAAGCGGACGGATTATGATTCACTAATAGAAGACATTTATATAAAAGATGTATTATATTTTCAGGGCGCTTCTCCGCTCCTGGTACCGTATCTTGCAGAAGCGGGCCATATTTGCCCCGTAACGCATAACCCTGCTGATTTCGTTCTGGAGACTCTCCTCAGTACAAAGGAAGCCTCAGCCCAAATGTCAGAACTATGTCAAAATGGAAAACTTTGTAGAAAATTAGACAGAATGACTGCAAGGGGAGGCCGGTAAGTTTGTGGTTTTTATTTTTTCTAGATTTTAGAATTGCGGTAACTGGTAATCTACATTTAAATATGTAACTCTATCTTCGGATGTCTACTAAGTCGTTCTCTATAAATTTACTTGGACATTCCTTTAACATATTAGTACTTTAGGTCCTCAAAGAACTCCTGCTTAAACGTGCATTACAGTGAAAGTGACAATTATATTATTATCAAAGCTATAAAATAAAATCTACCATACGTTTTTCCCTTTCAAAGAGCCTCTAAGTTCCGTTCGTCATTGCTGAGTCATTGTTCTTCAAAATGTAAAGAGCACAATACAGCATGAGCATCTTTTCTCTTCCAGCAAACCGGTTTTACATTCAGACGAGTCCATACAAAGGATTTTTGTGGAGCACGTCGCCAAAGAACAGATGCTCAGAATGGAATTTCCCACAACGTTTCTGACGCAGTTTTGGATATTGCTGAAACGAATGATGCTGCAGACGAGACGAAATTCCGTAAGCACTTCATTTCAGTCGAGTAGAGATTGAATCTTAATTGCCTTAACATACAGATCTCTCACTGCTGAACATAGGTCTTAAATCATGGAAGAGCTCATACTCTTATGATGATAAACAAGGTCCTTTCTATTAGTGATTTTGTAAATCTTAAGACAAAAAACTTCTCAAACTATAGTAACAGTACCAAGGATTTAATTTATTATTCAAAGCAGGTTATAATACACAAAATTCAGAACTGGTACTGAAAGTATTAAACTACATTTACACAAGCCTAATCTACGTATGAAGCCAACATTTTGTTATTAAGCATAACATTCGAGTTATCCACAGTCAACCTTATGGATACAACTGCTCCATCACGTCCTGGCAAGTGTTCTTCTTGGAGGCATCTTCTATCAGATCGGCAACGACGGGACAACTCCAGTCGCCAACTTTAAATTCTGTCTTAGCTGTCTCGTCTTTTTCATGTATACTTATGTGATGATACCCGTCCTACTGTGTAAGTTGTAACTATATTTTTTACTAGCTGTATCAGCGACTTTGTCCGCGTAGAATAGATGTTTTAGGCATCCAAAATCGTTTTTGCAAACCATCTTTATACATTTAAATAAAACACTTGAACGGTTTCAAAGTGCGATATATTATTTAACACTGTATTTGACAATGATTTTTTTACTTTGGCCAGACCTTAGCGACATTATTAATAGAGCACAGATTGATCTTAATAACTTATCTCTGGTTTCAGCATAACCGTGGTAACCGTGAGACGGAAAAAAAAACCAAGGAGGGGGGGGGGAAAAAAAAAAAAAAAAAAAAAAAAAAAAAAAAAAAAAAAAAAAAAAAAAAAAAAAAAAAAAAAAAAAAAAAAAAAAAAAAGAAAAAAAAAAAAAAAAAAAAAAAAAAATTTAAAAAGGGCCCCCCGGGGGGGGGGGGGGGTTTGGGGGGGGGTTGTTTGGGGTTTTTTTTAAAAAAAAAAAAACGGGGGGGGGAAAAAAAAAAAAAAATTTTTTTTTTTTTTTTTTTTTTAAAAAAGAAGTGAAAAAAAAATTTGGGGGGGGGGAAAAAAATTTTTAAAAAAAAAATTTATTAAAAATTTTTTTAAAAGATTTTTTAATTCGGGCCCGACTTTCCCGTTGTTTTGCAGCAGCCGTGGTCCGGGTAAAGATGAAGGATGTCTCTGACGTCAAAGTAAAAAATTACCCGTAAAACATTTAAACTCGCGTAGACTATAGACAGTATTTCATCTTTATACATTTAAGCTGCCCACGACATCGGTCGCGTTCCGTCGACTCCCCTTAGTTCCGGTCCCGTCGTTCTTGCAAGTTAATCTTAAAAGATAGACAAGATGAAAGATTTCCCCCATTTTGTTCACATTTCCCACTGTATCTTCGTGTATCTGTGTAATGTTTTATACTCTATAGCCTTCCTCGATAATGCTCTAACGAACACGAAAATGAATTGTTCAATTCGAACCCGTAGTTCCGGAGATTAGCGCGTCAAACAAACAAACTCTTTAGCTTTATATAAATAATAAGCATTACTGGACCATTTATTATAAGTTGATAATATAAGTTGAGTTGTTTATGAATGATCTTCATGTTTCAAAACTATTTACAATTTGGTGTTTAGGGTCAGGCAATCTCACAATAAGATTTTAATTTAAGTAGTTAATTTAATAAGTTCAATTATAGTATAATCCTTCAGATATATTATTTTTTTTTTATAATTATTAGAATCATTTTAAGATCGAAAGTAAATTATATAGTGCCTTCATGTGCAATAACATGTGAAAAATATTAATTTTCAAAATTATTAGAATACTTAATACCTAACAATTAAACATTTTTTTCAATAAAATTTGGTATTTTGCCTATTTCAAGAATGACTTCACAATATATAAAATTAACTTTCCGTTTCTTTTCTATTTTTTTTATTTTGGTGGGTTTTAATATATAATTATTTTTTTGTTTATTTAAGTAAAGAGTGCACTTCTTGACACTGTATAGTTGTTAATTAATGTTAGTGTTTCTACTGGGTGTGAAGAGATGCAAGGATAGGGGGTACACTCTATGTTTTAAATGAAGTATTGTAAGTTTTGGATAATGTGAAATAAATAAATAAATATGTATATAAACTTTCCCGCTATAGTACTTTTACAGTATCAACTACGAAAAGCGTTGCAAGAAGTTTAAGGATACAAAAATCCGTATTTTGGAAAAAAATAATCGCGAAATAGAATTTTCGAGAGCCATATTTCTTTCAAAGACGGCCTGTTAACACAAAAGCCTAAATAATAAAGACGACTCCGTAAAGTAGGCCAATGTTCTTAATCTTAAATATAAATTTTCTTCTTGTTATTTCCTATTCTTTTGTTAAACATATATGTTTAAGTTTTACAGTTTAATAGTTCGAAAATGTATATTTTAATTTAAATGGATAAACGTGCGTGTTAATCTTATTTTAATAACATTTTGTTTATAATTCGCTGTTTAAACCGTTGAAAATATTACCTACATTTTATATGTATATACTTAATTCTCAATACATTTTCAATTTTTACCCATACAATTATGAGTTCTACAAAGGGGTTCTGCTGAATTTTGAATTTTTGAATGCCGACGTCTGTAAACGTATGTAGTTTATACGTGTAATACACATTTAAATAAACAATTTTAACGTTTTAAAATGCGAAATGTATTACGTATTAGTATAAGTTAACTAATAGGTATATTTCGCGTTTTAAACCGTTAATTTTTATTTAAACTATTTATCTGTGAAAAATCAAACAACCAGGGTATTAAGAAACTGTTTCAGTTTTTTGGCATTAAAACCAACCTAAGTTCAGTAACACAGACACATAAATATGTCTGCTCATGATTTTCGTATAAGAAGTGTATGATTGTGTATTTCTTTTTTAGTTCCAATGGAGATGCGTATGCTACGGAGGGAGTATTTTAATCGTTGGTACAGTCTGAAGGCCTACTATGCAGCTCTGACACTATCGTCTGTACCTGTTATGGTTAGTAAATTAAGTTATTAGTGACCTTAATATCTATTGCTGGAATCATTAAGCATCCTTTCCAGTATATAATTATGGTATAAAAAATAGCGGTTTTTTTTTAATTCGACTTTGTCTGAAAATCTGGATATTAAATGTTTGGTAGGAATGTCAAAATACCGTCCGGGTCACGAACCACCGTCCACAGACGAAAAATCCATCAGTCTGTGCATTTCCGAATATCTAAAGTAAAAATAGGTCGACATCGTCTTTTATTTAAATGTTATATGGCTGGGATATTTTATTTTATTTTTTATTTATAGAGTAGAATAGTTAAGCTAGGAGAAGTTTTCTCTCTATCATAAAAATTATAGTTTTAATAATTGTACTGCAAGCCTCTAAAAATCTATCCATCCAAGAGTCTAACTGTCTTCATTTTAATGTGTTGCTGTCGTGTATTGAACATTGTTCATTAATACTTTCATTACAAAATATCTTTTCGAAATTGGTTAAGCCGTTTAGGCGAAAAATTATCAACTTATAATTTAAAAGTCAGGGTAGATCTATTGTAACATTTAAACAATTGTAGACGTATGATTAGAGCTAGTAATCATACGTATATGATGTACCTACTCATTTGTTTTTCATTACAGCTAATCCTGGGAATGATCTTCTTAGTTATAAGCTACGTGATGACTGGTCAGCTCTTGGAACTGGATCGATTCATTCTTTTCTCCATCGTGGGCCTCCTTACGGGTTTCTGCTCGGAAGGTTTGGGTCTCTTAGTCGGATCAGCGTTTAGTGTGACGGTAAGATTAAAATTTTAATAAGATTGCACATGATGACATTCTATAAATGTTTGTTTTGTGGATACCAGTTCCAGTACGACCATGTCGGACGTTTTTTTTAATTTAAGTAGATTGTAAATCTTGTTAATATTTATGACATACTAGTTGTGTCAGCGACGTCCGCGCAGTATAGTTATTTTGGACATCCAATTTTTTGTTTTTCCAAACCTCCTCTTCATCTTTATAAATTTAAGCTATTACCCAAGACGCGGTGGCGTCCCGTCGTACTCGCAAGTTAATCGCGGTTATTTTTTTAAATAATTGAATTAGGAATCAATTTTTACTACAAATTGCTTATAACCTAACCACGATAAATGCTCTAACCAAGGCAAAAAGATTTTTTAAATTCGAACTAGTAGTTCCTAAGATTAGCGCGTTCAAACAAACTATTCAGCTTTATATAGGTACATATTAGTAAAGGTTCCCCTTACAATACTTGGTACATATCATAATATGCTTATAGTAAGTTACTATAAATCCAAATTCTACTTATTTTAAATACTTAGCACATATGTAGGTAGTACTTCCACGAGTTTAATTACCAGAACTTTTCTTCACAGAACGGTTCCATAGTCGGCCCAGCGACAGTGGCGCCACTTTTAGCACTCTGCTGCTACGGAATGGGTTTTGGACAATTCATCGAGCCATTTATGAAGTTTCTCATGTCCCTCTCCTACTTACGATACTCTCTTACTGGCCTGTGCTTGGCGATCTACAATAAACGACCTCTCATGGATTGCGACGACATCTTCTGCTTGTACGCTGACCCGCGGCTTCTGTTACGTGACGTCGGAATGACAGATGACACTTATTACGTACAGATAATAGCTCTACTTATATTTACAGCTCTGCACAGAGTAATAGCATATTTCGCGTTACGATATCGTCTAACAGCCGAATTCACTAGCAAGTTCATGACATATATTAGTAAATTTTTAAAACATAGATAAGTAATAATTTATTGTGATGATTAATTTATTTTATTTGCATTATTGTGATGTAAAAGCGTCTTGTGAGACGAATGATCTTACAGTTCAGGGAATGTTGGAAAATTAAATAAGAGATTGCTCGATTTATAGATTAGAATATTATTGTAAGTGCATGTTTTATTGCTAATGAAATAAGAGCTGAAATCAATGGTGCGTGAATTTAAACTGTGATTGTATAGTAATATTATATTAATTAAGAATTCACATTGTTATTTTAATAAATATGAACCAAAAATATAATGCATGTGTAAAACACGTTTATTTAGTGTAAACCTACTTTATAATAACGCCATCTGCTGATGGTTTTTAAAAGTATTCATTTTTAAATAAAGTTTTGGATTCGTTTGGTCAAATTAAAAAAAATATATTGACAAACTATTTTTAATGTTTTTATGAATGAATGGTACTTAAACCATTATTGCACATAAATATTTAGCCACAATTTTTTATTTAGTACATCAAAAACCACGTTATAAAACTGATGTAAGAAATGTTATCTATTTAAAATATTAAAAAAAAAATGAGATAACCTTACCTAGACATCATATCAACAGTCTACTCGCGTCATAAATGTATTTCTAATGATATGATAATAGTACAATAAACATTATCCTCATAAATAAAAAACAAGTAGATACAATTTCTATGGTGTTTATTAGTTTCTAGATAACAATACATTGATCTAAAATCTTAATTGAAATAAATACAACAGAATATAAAGCTGTGAGATTACAAACTGAATCAAACAAAATGTATGAATATTATTGCCAATAATATCAAAGTAATCTCCTATTTTTCCTTATTCAACTAAACTTAAATTTACTTGCACACCTCCATAGCGTCATTCTTTTCTTCATCCAACTCCTTGCCAGTTGCATCGAGCATTTTACGTGCAAAGTCTGAGATAGTTAGGCCTTCTACAATCTTCCACTTTCCATTACTGACTGTGACGGGGAAGGAGAAGACCACATCTCGTGGGGTACCATAGGAACCATCAGATACAACCCCCATGCTAACCCAACGGTCACCAGTACCTAAGAACCAATCCCTCATATGGTCTGAGGCAGCCTTAGCTGCTGATAGGGCAGAAGACATTTTCCTTGCTGCAATAACAGCAGCTCCACGTTTTTGTACAGTTGTTACAAAGGTTGATTTAAGGAATTCATCATCATTAATTGCAGCAGGTACTGGTTTCTGGGCACCACCAATTGTGACAACAGCATTGGATGCATCTGGGAACTGTGTGGAGGAGTGGTTTCCCCAGATAATGACGTTCTTAACATCCTGTACCTTAACCCCCAATTTAGCAGCCAACTGGGCTTGTGCACGGTTCTGGTCGAGACGTGTCATGGCAGTGAAGTTTTCCTTGGGAATCGATGGGGCGTATTTTGAACAAATCAGAGCATTGGTATTTGCTGGGTTGCCTACAACAAGGATTTTAACATCTTTGCGTGCCACCTTATCCAATGCCTGCCCTTGTTCTTTGAATATGCGTACATTGGCAGATAGGAGGTCTTTTCTCTCCATGCCCTCCTTCCTTGGCATAGCACCAACTAAAAATGCAGCAGCAACATCCTTAAATGCTTCCTCAGGGTTGGCAGTAGGTAGCACACCAGCAAGTAAAGGCAAAGCACAATCAGCTAGCTCCATAACAACACCTTCTAGTACTCCCATCATGGGAGCAATATCTAGGAGGTGGAGGAATACTGGTTGTTCAGGGCCAAATACTGCACCTGATGCAACTTGGTAAAGAAGTGAATAGGCAATTTGGCCTGCTGCCCCAGTAACAACAACTTTGATTGGTTCAGCCTGAAATTAAAATATAGTTTTAACAGTTAGACACACATACTACATAATATAATGAATTTTTATATATTATCAAAAAAAAGGTAGGTACCATTATTTTAGGTAAAGTAATTATTTCTGATGTATTCAGTTTTTTTTCAAAACAACATGAGAACACCATTATAGTAACACTTAATATTTTTCAAGTAATCAAATGATAGCACTATCAAAGAACTCATCATCAAGGCAAAACGAATCTTGATAAAATTCTAATAAGAAGGTACAATGGTCTATAACTATAATTAACTTTATCAATATAATTACATAGCAATAACATGAGTTCTTACAATTTATTATGCTAATTTAAACTAGCTATTTACGGTACATAACTACTATTAATTTTGTTTTTATACATTGTAAAGGTCATGTGAAGGTCAATGGATTGGATGTACTAAGAAATAATTAATAATATTATAGTAAAATAAAAATCTTACCATTGTAGATGTAGAAAAAATCTCAATCGTATGTAATTTCAAGCGGTTATTAATATATTACGCAAGACCACTTGGCTTGATTGACCGGCGAATTATGTATAAAAAACGAAATACCGAATATTAAACCGGTTTGCTAAATCGCTAGATTCAAAGTTGAAAGTACAACAACTGCACTCGTCACACAAGAATAATATTTTGTAAGCAATTTGAAACTAATTTCCATGAAATAAAACTAAAAATCCTATGTTATCCGAATGTTGTGATTAGAAAGAGGTAAAATTTTTATTATCAATATATTAATACTCTGTGGTTCGTTTCTAGCAAATATTCGATATCCATATCATTCGACAGTCCACAAACCACAGAATGATAAAGCTAATCGATTAATAAAACCTTTGTATTGTTTGCAAAATATTAGCTAATTTGATAGTAATTTTAATGTTAATACTAGTCAACGTCATTTTACATAAGACTTTTAACTCATGTAATAAAGCAACTAGATCCTAATTTATATTTACTTTTTTTCATTACATAGTACAGTCTATACTTGTACATTTATCTTTTATGTACCTAATTTTGAATCTGTGCCGACATATGAGTGCAGTTTGCCGATAGCTGTGACATAATATCCCTAACCTTAAATAATTTAATGTCTCAAGTGTTCCAAAAAGCTTTTACTTAAAGAAAAATATAAATCATATTAATGAACCTTTAAATAATAATTAGTTATAATGTCGTCTCTCCTACGATCAACCAAGTTTGTGCGTTATTTTGCTGGTGCGGCTAGAACACTTATTCTTAATTCGGCAAAAACTGCGGAAGCAAACTCTTTATTAAACGCAAAATCACTTAGTGCCGCTAACAGGTAACTTATAATCGCATTCGTTCAATAAATGTCCAATCTTATAATATTATTATAATGTATTGTTAATATCACATTTAAGAAAACATTACTTTTCTATGTATTTCGTAACCTTTTTCAAAGTGTTATCTCATTTGGTTCAAATGTTTTATTCTTAGTAGGTAAACATTTATAACTTATTTATACTACTACTGTTTTCTTTCTTTAGTGTATTATTACGAGACTATGCGACAAAGAAGACAGAAAGTCTAGAGCCATTACTCCAAAGACTTGATGCAGAGGTAAAAAGGTTTGGAAGAATAAGCAAAAGGGATATTGATGAAGTCTTTGATGAGTTAAGAGGAAAGCATGACATAACTAGTTCACAATCCTTGCTTGTTATTAGATGTTGCGGTAAGTTATATATAGTAGTCTAATTTTGTCTTCATATTGAACAATAATAAATGTATAGGGCATACTGCTGATACAACCTAGTACCACCAGTATGTAGTATCAATATACATTTATAACGGGAGTGTGTACCGTTGATGTGTTGGAGTTTTTAAATCCAGCTTTTTGTATTTGAATATTTTATGCCTGGTGAGGTCTTCTAAGTGTGATTTTATGATTTTAATTTTCAATTTAAATTATATTTTGTCTTGGCTTGGATATGGAAGTTTTATGAAAAGAGTCTATTAAAGTTACTTTGTGTTTTTTTTCAATGATGTTAAATTTATCTGTAGTTTGAAGTTATGTTATACTTTATTACACTTAAATGTAACTTTATCATATAGGATAAACAGTGAATATTACATTATAGTAAACCTTGTTTCTAGGTGAACTGGTGCCAGAGGAATTACCCGAGCAAAGGACACTATTAGTTCAAAAAATATGGAACGTGTTAAACGAGAGAGGTGTTCCTATGGATGTCTCTCACTACAATGCTTTGTTACGAGTTTATTTGGAGAACGAGCATCCCTTCTCACCAGCACAGTTCCTGGATGATATGGAGAGCAAGGGCTTGCAACCTAATAGGTATATATATTTTTCAAGTCTTTTGTACTCATAAATATCACTTAGCAAATAGGGAAACTTACATAATTACTTATGCATTTTATATATGAGCTAATCTACCTTGACAACATAAGTTCTGCCTGGGGCATATTTTCTTCAATTCTTTTAAATTCCAGAGTTACATATCATCGTCTTATGTGGCGATATTGCCAAGAAGGTGATGTTGAAGGTGCAACTAAAGTCCTAGAGAAAATGAGGGAACTGAACATGCCCATTTCTGAGCCAGTTTTGAATGCTCTAGTTATGGGTCACGCTTTCCATGGAGACACAGAAGGTGCGAAGGCAGTGTTGGAAACAATGGCTGGAGCTGGTCTCTTGCCATCAAACAGAACATATACATTACTCGCCAGTGGTTATGCGAGGCAGGGTGATATAGATGGCTTGAATAAGGTCATTTCTATGGCTGAAGACAAAGATGTGATTTTATCTGATAAGGTTATTATTACTAAATTATTTATTATTTAATTATTAAGCAAAATATGTAAAATACATAAAAATGTTCTTTTTAATATTCTCAGGATTTCTTGGATATAATCGAAAACTTGGCAGTTTCTGGTCATGAAGACAAAGTTGAACAAATATTTCCACACATTCGCAAGAGTGCAGGTTATAATCAGGATGTCTGCAATCTGATCTTTAGGCTTTTAAACAGAGGCTGTGACTCTACAGCTAAAAATATTATGCAGACCATGGTAACATCATCAACTATTGATGAAGGTGGTGCTTTCTTCAAAGGTGCCTTCTACATTAAACATCTTGTTAAGTTAAACAGACCAGCTGATTCAGTAATTGAATCATGTAAGGAGCTACAAGCAGAAGGTTTGGTACCAAAAGCAGTGTATATCGCCACTGAAGTGGCATTAGAGCAAGGGCGTACCGAATTAGCCCAGAAACTATTCAAAGAACTGCAAAAGGAAGGTTATGAAATGCGCGAACATTATTACTGGCCACTTCTGGCCAAGAGGGGTAGTGAGGGTGATGAAGAAGGCTTGCTGCAAATAGTAAGAACCATGTCAGCTGAAAATTTGATGCCAAGTGGAGAGACACTTCGTGACTATGTTTTACCATACTTAATGAAAGATAAACCACAAAACATCATTACTAAACTTCAAACAGCAAATGTAACAGCAATTCACACTGTACGGAATCTAATAGTAGAACTTCTGCGAAAGAATCGAATGCAAGAGGCGGCCGAAGTAGCTCTGCAGTTCAGACCTAGAGGGGGTTTTTCAATCATCGCGCCAAACCTAATAACTGCTTTAAGCAACACCAAAGATATTGAGTCATTTGTGAAAGTCTTACACGTGATTAGCAATCAGGCAGTATTACAAGAAGAGGATTCAAATTCTGATGAGGCTCAGGAACGCAGTGTTGCCAGTGACTTGGGCCGAACAGTTAAAAGAGCAGTAAACATAATGCACAAGTCCAATCAGGCAGAAGAACTACTTCAAGCAGTGCTCAACAGAGGGCTTCGTATAGACACCGCATCAGCTGAAGAGATTCAACAGTATCTAGGCGACAGTATGACTATAAATATCTCGAAATTGCTATCGAATCTGACGTCATCTGACCTCGAGTCTGTACCATTAGAAGCATCCAAATTTGTTAACGACAGAAAGCCGATGAATTCCAAACAATTGGAAAATATTTTAGCCAATTCAAACAAGGCAGGATACACTGTCAAGTTGCAAAAGCAATTGTTGTCAGCCTATATGGATGAGAACAATGTTGAGAAAATGGAGAGTTTCGCTGAGGAATTAAAGAAAACAAACTTCGAAATCACAATACCGACGCTGATGAGAATGTATGTTGTGTATTTGGAAAATGGTATGATTGATAAAGCAAATAAGATTCGAGAGGATATAAAACAGAAGAATCCAGAATTTGAATTGAATAGATATAAAAAGGTGGTGATGGCCCACGCGTTGATAAAGAACAAGAAGTTTGATGAAGCTATACAATACCTGAAGGATAATAAGCCCAGTGATGATTACGATTCGTACTTCCCATTGAACACGAGATGTTGGCAAATGCTCAATACATTGGCTGAGGAGAAAGATGCAGCTAAGGTAAGTTATATTAAACTCAGCCACCTCTTTCTCTCATTATTTCAATAGGATTTTCTGCAATCCATTCAGCATTTCGTTAGGCGCTAGAGATCCTCGCTTTATACCCAGGGGTAATATAATAATTTCTGTCAAATAAGGGAAGTCGGGAAAAATTATTTATTTCCCTATATTGTGAATGACATTACCCATGTATACAACTATAGAGACTGTATACTACAACATGGAACAGTGACTGGGACTGTCCAATAATCCTTGAATAAAATTTCAGGTTAAAGAACTGGCTGAAACCCTAATCAACAACAACTACATAACTCCAACGAATGTGTTATTAGGACCCTTGATAAAAGTGCACATCTTGAAGGACGATTTGGAAGCAGCGCTGAAGGAGTTTGAATACTGTTGCAACCAATACAGAAGCACGCCGTGGAAGGGAGAATTGACGAAGACGCTCATTTTGAAGGAGGACGCTAATAAACTACAGTGGCTTGCTGATCTGAGTACCCAGGTAAATATAGTACAAGCGTCGGTTAAAGGCTTTATCTATATTCATATTACAAAGCTGAAGCGTTTGTTTGTTTGAACATGTTAATCTCAGGATCTAGTGGTTTGAATTAAAAAATGATTTTTGTGTTGTTTGCATTTATCGAGAAAAGCTTTAGGCTAGACTTTTAAACATCACGCTTCGACCAATAGGAGCGAAGTGACAGAGGGAAATGTGGACAGAACGTGAAAAATTATTCATCTTTGTGGGGTTCCGTTGCGGAAACGGTTTAAAATACCTAAAAAACATGTATGATAAAATTAATTCTCTTTAAACGATCTTATGTACATAGCTAGTTATTTAATACAAGTTATATGTACACGATTTATAATTTTTTATTTGTTTTGACAGAATTATTCTCTCTTTAACAGATTCACGGTGAAATTAATATCCTCCACGATTTAGTGTTAGCGTTTGTGGAGTGCGGTCGACTGCGACAGGCCCGCCGCATCTTGGAGACACCCGGACTCGTCTCGAGACAGCGTCGCCTCAACGACGCTTGTGAGAGATATGTAGAGGTATTATAACTGTTTAATTTAAACATCTGTATACCACCGGTTGAAAAGCCAGTGGATGATATCATCAGATATTTCGACAGCCAATAAAACTCAAAATCTTTAATATAACTATGTAAATTAAAGATTGATTTTGCACGCTCTAACCAATTGAGCTATCGTGTCCTACACGTACGCTATGTCAATTTATTTGGAGTTTTAGTTTATAATCTCATCCTGTGCGACAATATATAATAACATGTAACAATATTAAGTTTTCAAATATAAGTCTATTAGTTCTCACACGCCATTCTATTTGCATCCGAACTTTACCATAATTAATTTAAAAAATACTAATTTGCTGCATACCAATCAATGTTGGTTATACAGCGCAAAATGGCACTTCGTTTCTTCTTGACGTTTGAAACTTATGTATTTGGTTACAGGAAGGAAAATCTGAGTATTTAGAAGGACTCCTCGAAGCAACTAAAGACTTGTCAATCGTAGACCGTTCCAACATATTCTACCACTTACTAGTGACGTATTGCAAAGCTAACGAGACGGACAAAGCTTTGGGTCTCTGGACAGTACTTCAGGAGGAGGGTGAAGTACCCACAGACGAGTTCCTGGTGCAACTAGGAAACCACTTGAAGTCTAAAAACCGGGAGGTGCCCTTCGTCATTCCCCAGCGAACTCAGAAAGTAAAAGAAGAATCTATAATCGAAAAAGTAGTGGCTCCAAAACAACCGATTCAACCGTCGAAACAGGGCATCTCTAACCAAATTGAGGCACTAATAAAAGGTGGCTTACTAGCTCAAGCTTTGGACTTCACGATCAAGTCTGTCGATGATGGCGTGGTACCCAAAAGGAATGTACTGAAATTCCTGCTCAAAAACTTCGCCGCGGAAGGCAACGTGGAGAATATACAGAAACTGGGCAAATATTTCAATGACGAAATGCGCAAAGCCACTACGTTTGACGATAAACTGACACTGGCCATATTTAACAGGGGGTCGGGTGAACAGCACGTGAATAATCTACTTATGACTGTGGAATCCATGAAGACACCAGAAGAATTGAATTCGGTTTTAACTAAGTTCCCGAGAAGTGCGGCTTTAGCGAAGGCTGTGAATGACGACAATTTGAGAGAAAAATGTAAGTTGTTTTATGTTCTTTTCCGTGTTACTGAGTCACTTTACAAATGCAAGGTATGTAATAATATATGGATGTCATTGTAACGTTTGAAAAGACCAATAATTCATTTATCCACCCGATCTTTTCTCACAAAATTGCGCAAAAAACTATTAGGAACTAGCTGTGTCAGCGACTTGGTCCGCGTGGAATAGTTATTTGGCCATCCAAATTTGTTTTTGCAAACCTCTACATCTTTATAAATTTAAGCTGCCCACGACATCGGTCGCGTCCCCACGCTCGCGACCGACGAGACCCGACCGACGCTTTGGTTCCCGTCGTTCTTGCAAGTTAATCTTAATAGATAGACAGATCTCACTACATGATGGACATTTTTCTAGATTATTTAAAAAGGAATAATTCTTTCATTCATATTTTTTGGGTGTCTGGGACCGCTTTCGCATCTTACGCATCTGAAAATTTTCCCCCGTTTCGTTCACATTTCTCGCTGCATCTTCGCTTCTATTAGTCACAGCGCGATGTTTTATAGCCTTCCTCGATAAATGCTCTAAACAATACAACAATATTTTTTTTAATACGTAGCCGTAGTTCCTGAGATTTGCGCGTGCAATCAAACAAACAAACTCTTCAACTTTATATATTAGTATAGATAGATAATATTTGGTTAACCAATAAGAAATAGTCAAAAAATATTATTGTAATTTCACAAAACAAATAAAACCAATCTACTTAAAAAATTGCTAGACTAAATTAAAACATTTTTACCATCCATATACATTATATTTAGTTTCTATGTATCTATGTGTTATTATTATATTTTACAGTTTAACTGTCTCTCATGTCTCACATTCAACTAAATCTATGTTTTCAGGCCACAAAATAGCAGATATAGCCGCGTCCAAAGGCATCCTTTTACCAGCAAATCTTCTATGGATGGAGTGCCTTCTCGCTGGAAACACCAAAGAAGCCGATTTGTTATGGGAAAAGCATATGAAGAAAGCAGAGGTCGTCGTCTTCAGAAGACTCTTACAAGAGAGCCATTTACAAAAGAAACCAGAGTTAATAGAGAAATTGATAAAACTCCTAAAGACTAACCCAAATATGAGCCCCACTACTTTAGGCAACGCGTATTCTAGGCTAATTAACTCACACGTGATCGAAAATCGGTTAGATCAAGCAAAGGCCGTGTTAGATGAAGCATACAAACATGGTTTGACGAACGAACATTTCAATAACACAAGCCTTAAGAGGTTGAAGGCGGCATTTGAAGAAACGGGAAGGAGTTTTGAGTATTCCGTGTAAGTGGTTTCATTGGCTTTTCCCTAGTAGAGATGTATGGATGATTTTATTAAATGTTGGAGAGATAAGTTATAACCCAGTACCAAGATATTATACCAATTTAAAATACCATTATTTACCAAAAATATGTTTTCTACGTTGTCCGATATTAAACACTAAAATCAATAAATGTTAAAATAAAATGACTTCAACGGATTAAAACAAAGTATTATTTACCAAACTGCTGTATTGATATATTTGTCACAAAATTGATAACTCACAATTGTGCAGGTATTGGAAGACATATTAAGTATTAATGTTTAAGCAACTTACCTTTATGTCCGCTAACTACTTAAGTCTATGTTAAATACTATCTGTAGTTTACGCGAGCAGTACGCATTTAAATTAAACACTAACGGTTTAAAACACGATATATATTAGTTAAAGTTATTTGCAAATTATTTTAACTAGAGATTCAGTCTACCAGTGACCACGGCTGCTGCGAAGCATCCGAAATGTCGGGCCGTAGTTATAATATAATATAATTTTGAAATGAGTTTAACTAATTTATATTGCGTTTTAAATCGTAAGAGTGCAGTAAGCAGACAGGCTTTCTTATATTGTAAATTGCCTAAAGGATAGCAAAACGGACTTCATAAATAATAAGTCGGTTCATTTTAATGTTTGTTACTCCCGTGAACATTGGTATTGTTTCCCAAGGATTCAGAAAAAAAATTGTATATTGAATGAACAATAAAAACACAGAATAACTTTAATTTGACTGAATATTAATACACTATTTGTATGTAAATATGTCATTCAGAGAACATTTGTGTACCTGTAAGTTCCACACTCGAGACTCTGTATTGTATGCGTTATTTTAATCATTGTAGTTTGTTACTTTAGTATTAATATAAATTATCAGTAAGATTTGTCTTTTTTTACGAATCGAAGCCACATAATTGTATCTATTTCAATGTTTTTTTCTGCTATAGTAAAGATCATTTCAATGCCCTGCTTATTGCTTTCCCTGGATTTGTGTATTCGCGATTTACACAATGCAATGCAACTTATTATGGTGGTTATTTTAAAGGTGACTTAGAGAAGAAACGAGTAGATAGATATCTTTTTAAATCTGGTAGTCATCTAATGCTGTTTAATGCTTCAACGTAAGGGGTATAGAACTATAATAATATTAGCGAAGGCTTATTCAAATTATGGCCTTGAACAAAACAAGTGGAATGGTTTCTTACCTTTCAACTCAAATTTTTTTCATCATTCAATCATATTGTTGTTAAAAATCACACTAATATATGGTTTATAAATAGTTTTTGATCTTAATATAGGTGACACCAAGATTTTTATGCCGATATTCTGTCGGATTTTAAAATTCCAACCGGATAGTTACCCAAAATCCGTCTCAGCTATTGTGAATCAATCGTAGAAGGTAGTTTTTTGGCTCGTCGGTCTGATGGTGGCAATGCATGGCTAATAATCAACGGGCCGTGGGTTTGATCCGACCGCATCCAATATGTTTATAATTTTTGGAAACACGTATTTCCTCCGGAAATCTGGATATTAAATGGAGGGTAAGAATATCTGAAATTCCGTCCGGATCATGAACCACCGTCCACAGATAAGCCGTGAAGTTTTATCGCGTTTCGATTTCAGTCTGCGGACTTCCCATTGTTGTATTTTCTTCTTCATCAAAATAAAAGACGTATGTGATATGAACAATTTATTTAAGTAATTTGTATATAATGATATGATTTCTGTACAACTTTACACGATTCTAACTAGATTCAACTAGACATAATGACTACCTTAACATACAGTGGCTTAATAATTTACATAATTATAGCATGAACGAAGCTGTACATTAATTCGTAATCAACTCTACATTTACTTACATAAGGTCGAAGTAAGAAGTGGAATAATATAATATCTAATTACATTTACGAAAAAATAAAAGGGCATTAGTACTAAAATAATTATTAGAAATAAGGAAACATTAGGATAAAATCTTAATGGAGTTTCTTAAAGTGGTAAACTTATGTCTTTATACAAAATCAGTCTACTATCAATAACCATTGTAATAGTATGGAATTATTATTCTCCCTATTAAATGTAACTTAAAATCAATTCTTTCTACTTACGAAAATGACCTACTCAAGAATATTTGATATTTTCTAAAACTACCCTCAAGTTCAATGCAACTACCTCCCAGCCTAGATAAAATTCTGAAAATCCATCTCTTTAAACTATCTTAGAATGAAGTATTTGCTCTGTTTGTGAAAATAAATAATTCCACACTTTACTGAGTTAAATATAGCACATAGTCGTGCGTATCGCTTAGGACGTTCAACACTCATGGACGATTGTGTAGTATCTACGGCGCGTTGAGTAGGATCGAGGATCAGTTAATTTTGTCTTTTTAATACATATAATGCGCCACCATTTTTTATTGTGTCATATGAGGCAAAAGAATGAGGAATCATGCTTTTTGTCATTACACACATTGAAATTAATTTAGTCACGATTTTCAGCACATGCTGAAAATACATAGCGGTAAAATCCTACTCAACGCCACTAACAATAAATCGAATTACCTTGTGATACCCTCAATATGGAATTAAAACCTACCATACATCAAGCTAATTTGATTTTTTTTATAGAAATTACTTGCACTAATTCAGGCGAGCCAATGCAGTCAAACAAAGCCAGACTTATATAATGTATGATAGGTCCACGCTAAATACAGCAATGCAAGTCGTAGCTCAGATAATATAATATAATTACCCTTATATTAATATTCGATTTCTAGTAGCGATAGCAACCGCGCTTTTTCACAGCCTTACTCGTTCATTCATACATACAGTCCAGCCAGCGGCTTAGGAATGACTGCTAGCTACCATTTACAACACCAATAACAAATTCATATAGATTATACAATTACCTAACGCTTAGGAATTACGAATCTGCAATAGTGGATTAAAAATTTTCAATATATCAATAAGTTAATACAATTCCATACATCCAAGAACCGATAAAATAGAAATGTGAAATTATCACAGATATCATGTATATACAGAAAATACAATTCACTAACGCATTCGAGTTCAAACTATCGACTACACGTAATAAAATCGAAATAATCATACGTTTTTGTACAGACATGCTAGACATTGTTTATATATAAAAATAAGCAAATGCATAGGAAAGAATCAGTTCAATCAAACATTTTTGTCTCCGCCGTCGCGGACGTTTCGAGCGAGTGGATATCGTTATCCGCTGTGGATAATGGTATGCACTCCAGTGGATATAGTCACCGTGTTTATAAGTTCAGGAGGCGAGCGAATCATCGTCGAAGTCTCTAAGGTTTTCTTTATCGATCGCATGTATGCTCTCGAAGTATTGCTGGGGTTTCCCATCCCACAGCGAGGCGTCCGTCGAGTTGAGTGATTTCAACGTTTTGAGATCAATGGAATCCGTGTTATCATATAGGATCGATTTGGACAATTCCATCGCTAGGTTCTGTGGGGTCTCGTACGCGAGCCGGCAGTCTTGTAGGAGGTTTTCTGGCAAGGGGCGTGTCCTAACCGTGTGTAGTTTGGGGAAGAGGGGCGCTAGACGATCGGTCCGGGCTAAATACTCGACGACAAGACGAGCGCCTGTCTCCAGCCGTCCAGCGTCCAGGGAATCCCGGTAACGATCCGCTTCCGAAGTGATTTCGACATGCACGTCTAGTTTCTGTGAAAATGACATAAACAATGACATTATTAACTTCGACAATTGACTTATGTCGAAAAAGGTTGAATGAAAAGGTTATTTTAAAAATAAACTTATTTCTACGTCTGTATACCCTTACTTAAATTCCATTATTTACATTAAAAAACGCAACAAAATACATAAATACTTCTAAGAGTTGCTTCGAGCGTCTCGCGGTTGTCTTTAAGAGATTAAGTAAGGGTCTATACAAAATCTTATAAAACCAAAATATCCAATTTTAACAAGTTAGTTATGGTGTAGCACAAATATTAATTTGACAGAGCAATGGCTGAAGAAACAAGTTGATTTATTTGTACAGGATAAATATTATATAATACGATAATATATAACATCATTGAATAATACCAAATTATTGTTTGTTATCCTAGGTCTATAAGACACATTTATCAATATTTGTTGTTACAACTTACACACCACGCTTACGAAAATCCGTCATTTTTATTATTCAACGCTTTATATTTCGGCAATTGTGGACATCGCGTGTTATCTGATACTTCACGATATAATAAACAATTAAATATAGGTGGGACAACATTTTAGGGAGGAAAAATTATAGATATACTTTAAAACAAAATATATTTTAATTATTCAAACTACGACCCGTTACTGAAAAGCCTCCAAAAGCATCGTAACAAGTTGACAAAGATAGTTCAAGTTTTAATTAAAAATAACAACGTTTATTAAAAAATATCATCGATGTTCTTTCAATGAAAAATATTGTCGACCTAAAATATAGTTCCACCGGTTAATACTCGTATTGTCCAACAGTGCATCAGCCAAGTGTGTGTCGGCTATGTTCTAGCCGTTTTGTTAGTAGCTGATATGCCACTATGTCAATAAAAAAAATCTACTGTCATCTACATTACTACAAAAGCATATTGTGAAATATAATGAAGTCATAGTGCAAGAAGTATTGGAGAATATATTTTAAATAGAACAACGCTAGTGCGATTTTTGCTATTTCGAGCAAGTTTGTTATATCGCTGAATACTGAAAACAAGCTTAAAACGCGAAAAAAGGGTTGTATTATATGGTTTGAATATTTACCCTTTCATCAAATGAAGGCATTTCCATCCTCCTCTATCATTGAGATAAAACTTACATAGATACAAAGATACTTACAGGTGCAGGAGGACAGATATGCATCGGGATCACTAAATAAGTTTGACAGCTTTTTCATTTTTGGACGGTGGTTTGTGACCTGGACGGAATTTCGATATTTAATATCCAGATTTCTAGACGAAATCAAACATGTTTCAGAAAAATTATAAATGGACTAGTAACACGTTGGACCCGATAGGCCGCTAGAGGCAGAGTAGCCTAACTGCAATTTTTATTTTCCTCCTTATTGAAAATCGTATTCTTGTTATTAGGCCACCCTGCCACTAGCTGCCTCAATTATTAGCCAGACACATATTTTTTGTATATGAGGCGACATATTAAATATAAATATAGTAATAAACAAAAGAAGCACGGGTGTTAAGTAAGCAAAAGCAAAACCATGCAATTAACATAGTGTTAACATAATATGTACAAGACCCATACCACTTAAAGCTGTTGCACAGGGGGAGGCACTGCAAATAAAATAAATTAAAATATATTACAATTTGCGAAAAAAATCCATTCGATATATCCCCCTTTTAAAGGCAAAATATAGTCAAATTTCAGCATCAATAAAAAAACAAGTTTTTACGAATAAAATGGCCAATTAAAACTAATTTTCGTAATTCACATACATATGTGAATTGTCTGAATGTGAATGGACACATGTCCTAGACATATTTTCACAACAACTCAAAATAAACCTTTTTATATGTTTTTACAATAAGGTAATACTCACCACAATACCACGACCTCAAGACATTAGAACAGAATGGAATGTTCGATGAGAAATAATGAAAGTTAGTTTCGTTAGTATCATGCTTTATTCTACTTATGAATGACCGAAAGCTACTAAAACTACACCAGTAGAATGGCGTACGAGGATGTTTGTGTTTCTTTTCGTCACATAACGTTCATCTAAAATTTAGGATAAAATTATAAATTTTCTGAAATTCATATCGTCATTATTATTAAGAAGAAGAACAAACTATTATATTAGGTCTTTCTTACAAAATGATGCATAACATGAAAAACGTCTAAGTAATTATGTACTTTATGCGCATAGAAACAGAATTCAATTCGCAACATAAGCATCCTCGCACAAAAAAAATCAAAACGAAAACAAAACTTACGGTCGACATAATGGCATGTATTCGTCGCGACGACCGTTACCGTATTATCACAGTTAGCGTCACTGAGTTGGTGCACTGTCACACGGTGGGGTAGGGTATTAGCACTATTTGGGGGGCACTGTTAGTTTCGGTCGAATGTGAACCACGTGTTCCAGAACGGTTTCGGGCGAACCTTGCTTTCGGAGGGACGCCGCACGGGCACCGAGGATTTGCGGTTCGAGGACGACGTGGTGGATCTGACGGAGCGGCTGCTGTGGGCGGAGGAGGGCCGCGGCGGTGCAACCGGCGCCGGGGGCCGGGGCGCTGCCCCTTTGTGGGCGGTGTGCAGAGGGATCTTGCTGGGCTTCCTCCGCGGTGTTTCTGTTATCTTCGCCTCCTCGTCTGGCATGTTGAGCGGTTCCATATCTCGCATGCTGCTGTGGTCTCGTCTGTCTAAGCTCTCGGAGCTACCTCTCTTTTCGTACTGCTGCAATCGCGAATTTGCCAAGTCCAGTTCTATGCTCTTCTCGTCCAGCTGTAACACAGAAGTTAGATTTTAAGACACTTATAAAGGGCCACGAAGCGAATGGCTTCATGTAATTTAGATTTTAAGTCTATTTCGTTCAGAAACTGTAAATCTGGGTTTTTATACTTTTTAAAATATGTATAATAGAAAATAATTGTAGTTCTAAGCATAACAATAGCTCGGCGAAACCAAATATTATTAGTATGTACTTATTCAGGCAAATAGATAATAATATTGTATGGTATCCAAGTTGTTTTTTATATTGTTGTGCTTCAAACTAAATGCTATTTTTTTAAAAATAATTAGGTAATTGCTTTAGACCTAAACGGTGTATTGTAGCGGTATAGAGCAAAATTGCAATAAACGTTAGCTGCAAAAGTGTATATACACAAAATAAGGTATAGTTAATCACAAGATATTGTTTATAGTGCAGCCCAAAAAAGACAAAGAAGCAATTGGGGGAATTTTATCGTTAGCTTTTAAATAGTGATAAGATCGAAATTTTGTTGCTTACCCTATCACTAAATTTATCAGCTAATGACGCTTCACTTATTGTACTTACGTCGACTCCGTGACGTTTTCAATAAAACAGCGCTTAAATATACAGTTAACGATAAAACAAAGGTTTAAAACGCGGTAAGTTAACTTTTAACCTGTTATAAACTTAGATTTGCTTTTCTGGTCCGAGAGAAAATCCAGATGTAACAGTAATATCCACCTTAACTTTTTCTATAGAGCGATATTTCGAATTTGGCACTTACCCTAAACTTCAAGTCTTTATTGAGATCGGTGGCTTGGTCTAGTTTCTCCAGAAGCCTCGTGCGTTGGGCGGCTGCTTGTTTTAGCTGCTGACTGTACAGCTGAAATCACATGAACAAATATTTAACATTATTTTACCTACTCTCTTTCCCTCTATCACATTATACATTAAAACATATATAATATAATACATAGATATTTAATCCAATGTAACATAGGGCAAACACATTCTTCTGTGTCTATGTCACTGATGGATTTTATTTAGATTCAAGGAAATCAAAGTTCTGTGCCCTGCATGACTGAAGTATTTTCATGTTTCTTAGAACTCGAACCCAGGACCGTGTAACCATTGAGTTAGCAGGTCGGTGAATAAACATGTATCAAAAGCAATTATCAATTCTTGTGACTGAGGAATCTATACTATTATTATAAACGTGAAGAGTTTAAATGCGCTAATCTTGGGGACTACTAAATCGAATTGAAAAATGATTTTTGTGTGGCATAGGACCATTTAACGAGGAAGGCGTTAGGCTATGTAACTATACGCAGCGGCCAATAGTAGCGAATCAGTCGAGAATATGGAAAAAAACGGGAAAATTATTATTCTTCTTCTTCTGGCTTCTGTTGCGTGCGCCTCAAATACGGTTCAAGTGACAAAAAATAATCTTTCTAAATGAAGTAATTTTTTAATTTTTTCGCAAGAACCGTTTCTATGGTAGTCAAATTTGGTAGATATCAATTGACCAATTATTTGTTTGTTGTATCAACATAATATTTATTAACAGAACAACGTCTGACGCATCAGCTAGATACATATTACATTGCTCACAGAATTTGTAAGTAGGCTATCCCATAAAACACATATTGCGCATGAGTTTGTCTACTAACGGCAGCCTTACACCATCAAAGGCGAATTAAAGACAGAACTGGGACGCAGAGTACGTTATCGTTGGGCTCTAGTTCCACCTCGGTCCATTAATTCCACTGTTCCGCATAATTTTGCCGAAAGCAGATTACGTCATTGGCACCTCGTTAGCACTATTTGGATATCAGGGTTGCCACTCACAACTTGAAATCGAGTAAAATATATATATCACATAAAATTAAACATATACGGCTTTATTACAAATAATACTTAAACGAGAACTGCGAAGTCTTGGTTTAACTCTTAAACCACGGTCTAAATGAATCTAAGTTAGTAACATAGTTAGTCTAGTACATACATTAAACTTCGTTTTGTAATAAGAGTGTAACAGTTTTAACAGACTCGACGTTAGAGTTGTCCTACAGTAGCCCTGGTTTTGAGTTTTAAATAGATAATAAAACGATAAAGGATTTTGTTTTTTTTTGCCTTTTTAACACAATAATCTTTTATTAAACTTGCATTCCTTTACTTGTGATCTTAGAATCAATAACTCTTTTTAGCGTACGCATTTAAATGAAACACGAAGACTCCCCGTGACCGCGGCTGCTATAAAACATCCGAAACGTCGGTTCGTAGTTAATAATAAATAAGTACACTTATATATTTCACGTCTATAACGTGGTTTATTCAGTAAAATAACTCTTCTAATACATATAATATTTTTTAACGAATATATTTCGCTTTTAAACCGTTACTATTTTTTCAAGACTTTCTAGTTTGATAAGATATTAGCAACCCTATCACTAGCACGTACTGTTACTTCACTTGAAATACAATTAGGAGCGGTAGTTGACAATCGCTACACCTTTTTTTGAAATCGTGATTTCTATGGGAATAATAGAAACGGCGTAATGAGTCTTTGATCTTTGATTTACAACACTTTTACAACGCGTACGAAAATTAAAGGTATACTTTGTGGAATATATGATGAGAAGTTTTAAGTTGAAATAACAAGTTTAATTTTTAATTTTGATATGAAGAACGATTTTTATTTAATTATAATATAATTTTATTGGATTGTAATTAATTGACTTTACTAAGTGCATGGTAATCCATAATTGTTAAAGATTGTTTTATTTGTAACAAAACAATACTTCGTAAAAATGAAGTAAGACTCTCCCCGTGACCACAGTGCTGCAAAGCATCCGAAACGTCGGGCCGTAGTTACATAACTAATATACATACAACCGCGTTTTAAACTGTTGAAGTGTTTAATCTAAATGCGTACAATTCGCGTAAACTACTGCTAATATGAAACTTATTCATTACATTACATATCAGACGAAGTATAATTGGATGATAAATATAATTTAGCTATCGCTGGAAGTTTTGACAGATCACCGTGATTTCGTATTCTAACTAGTTGCGTTATGCTTAGACGTCGGTAATGATGCAAATGAGAGACATTACACAACGCCAATTACAATTTCTATTCGCTCTCTAGGAAGTCGAAAGAAAACATGTAAAGAATGGGTTTTTGTGATTCTAGATTGAATACTTTCTAACTTGGCAAAAGACCACAACAAATATGGCCGAATTCACACCATAGAGGACTAGTGATGTCCTTTTATACAGTGATGACAAACGAATAAAGAAGTGGGACTTCTACCTTCGAGTGTCGTTGACTTTGCTTCCCCCTCATCCTTATATAAATGTAAGGTAAAATTAATTTCAAATTCTACGATTTTTGGTTATTTTAGCATGTTTACTAAGTGAGTCTCACCTGATTCTGTACAGTGGAGACCAGCAGTTGTCTTCTCAGTTCGACGGGATTGCTCTCTTGGAGAATCGCCGCGAACTTCTTCGAATCCGGTGTGGCGATCCGCGGCGGCCGACGCGGCGTATCCAGCGTACTATCCAGCCTGCCTAACGGCGTGCCTTGCGTAGGTGGACTGGACGCCGCTAACGCTTCTAGCTGAGCGGCGCGAGCCAAGAGTGCGTCGCGCTCACTCCTGAGTCTAAGGATATCCGCGCTGTCCGCGCAGCCGGCGGACAGTTGGCGCGCAAACGACTCTTCAGCTGTTTCTGATTGCCTCTCGTCCAGTTCCCCTCGGAGTAACTCCGCCTCGTCTCGCAGACGAGAGCCCTTACGCTGTATGACGTCGAGTAGCGCCCAGAGCTCATCCTCGACGGGGCGAGACCGCGTGGCGGCGGAGGCAGAAGCCGACGAATGGGCGTCCTTGCTGCACGAGGTCTCCGTGCTGAAACCCGAGTCCTGCACGGAGGGTTGGGGCTTCGCTCGGGCGGGGTCTCCGCTGGCGGCCAGTTTCCTGCGCACGCGCACTCCGGGCTCCCAGTCGCGCCGGGTGCTCGCCGGCGTCGACGGAGCCATCTTCGAGCGCAAGTTGGGAAACGTCTCGATGACGAGGTCGCGAAATTCGAGCAGAGCGCCGACCTCATGCTGGAGTTCCTGAAAAGTTTCGTTAAATATGATGCGGCGTAGTTGAAATTTACTAGTGAACGCAGCGAAACAACATCCTCGACAAGACGAGGTAAAACCAGCAGACGGTAAAATAGCCCTGAATGATTATAATAATTAATTTGTCGTAAAATACTTATTCACATGCAACGAATGTCTATTATTTCTTGTAAAAAATTGATCAGCCCCATCAAGATGGTAATGCTTTAGAATATGAAATGATATTTAAAAATAAGTATGCGATACTGTTGCCCTAACATATTCACGCAACACAGTGAGGTGAAAACTTGTCACAAACATAAACAAGCCCGACAAGGTCTGCACTCTGCAGACATAAGACCCGTCTGTATTGTATTAGACAAGATTAGATTGCAACGACTGATAGCAAGAGAATAATCCCCGTTTATAAATGCGGAATTATGCTTTACGGTTTGTTTATTACTTCAGTATCCAGATATGATGTTGGCATTTAGGGAAAATCTAAGAATATACAAAGTTCTACTCGCGTAAACTACAGACAGAATTTACTCGAGGAGTACACATTTTATCAGTTTAAAACGCGATATATATCAGTTATTATGATTGCTTATTTGGAAATTATTTTAACTACGGCCAGAATTTCGACGTCTATATAAGTTTAATATGTATCGCGTTTTATACCGTTAGTATTTTACACAAAAAAATAAACACGGTGTTAGTAAAAAAAGCAGTTGATAGTTATAAAGTCATGTTGCCGTGCGCTTAAGAAATTTTACATATAAATTGAGATGGTAACGAACACAGCATTGTGTATTGTATGTATGTACAGTATTATTTGAAATAATAATGTTCTAGATATTTAAATTTTTGTTTTAATTTTTAATCTTCTAGAATACTTCAGAGAATTTGTGTTCTATTGCTATGTGGGTATATTATAGATTTTTTGTCAAACATGTAGGATTAAAAATGGTAAGATATTCTATTTTTGTTTCATCGCAAGGTTTTTAAAGAAAAAACCTAGACTAATTCACTATAGACTAGTATACCTAGTCTACAGTGAATTATCAATTACAAGGATACAAACTTATCTAAATTAAGCAAGGATTACAATTTAAAGCAGCAGTCAAAACCTCGCCCTTGAAGGAAGAAGTTATTACCATATTATATAAAGCGAATTGAATATTTACCTGTAACGCAACGAGGGACTTAGTCTGCTCCGAGATGGGGTAGTGGAATGGTCCAGGAGTCGAGCGCAGCTGCATGCACTCCATGCCCGAGCCACCAGAACCGCCGCTTGCGCTGTCCGCACCGCCCGTCTGGAAACAAAGGACTTTGTTAACTCTATATTCTTTACTAATATATCAAGCTGAAGAGTTTGAAGACGCTTATCTCAGGAACTACTTGTTCGAATTTTAAGTTCTTTTTGAGTTGGTCAAAGCATTTATCGAGTTATATTGTATAGATATTAAATATTACTATCTAACTATTAGAAACTGGTTCGTTTGGGTTTAGTTTGCATAAAACATATACTTAATTTCGTTACTAAGTTGTCTGAACCTTGTCCAAAAAAAATATAATTATTATAAGATCATAAGTTATATTTAGTTTAGAATTCTTTTATATTGTGCAGCAGAAATAAGTTAATAAATTATGTTTATCGTATCTTGATTTTATTTACAAAAACGTCCTTTGTTGGTCCTCACTGAAAACAATGTATGATGTATGTTACGTCGGAATTTAAACTTTTTGTGTTCTATAATAATGTACCTAGCGCGATGCGTTTCTCTTTAAATACGATCCGTATTAGATACTCTCTTCGAGTAAAGGGAAAAAAAAAAAAAAAAAAAAAAAAATATGGGGGCCCCCCCCCCCCCCCCCCGCAAACCCCCCCAACCCCGGGGGCGGAAAAAAAAATTTTTTTCAAAAAAATTTTAACAAACATTTCGCGTTTTAAACCGTTAAAGTGTTTTATTTAAATAGGTCCGTATTATTACATAAGCAACAATATTCACATAAAGAAAAATAATGTCGCAATAAAGTTGTAACACACTAGTTTGTGCTTTTAGCACGAAAAAAGTTCTTTAAATTGAAACATAAATATATATATAGCTAAGCTATATTTACAATATATAGAGAGGTCTCTACAGCGCGTTAATTATTCACGCCGTTAATTAGAACCGTGCTCTTGTTAACCAACGCTTAACCCGTTCGAGAAACACGTCCTCAATTAGTATTGGAAACAGTTAACGCGAACCGTCAATAGGTAATCACGACTCGTTTCGTTCGTCAATCGTGCGCCGATTGTTTAAATGAACCACTCAATTGAATAATGGGAAGCAATTCCTCGGGGTACGGTCCGCAGATGCAATTAGCCCGGCAATTTCCATTGTTTACGACTTCTGTTTGTGTTTTCAAAAGCTCGGTAGCTCAATTGATTAGACCAAAAGCACGGAACGCTGACGATACCGCTTCAAGACCTGCCCGAGTTGCAATTTTTTTCAATTTATTTTCGATTTTTATGTCATTCGCTACGTACAGTAACGTTATAGTGCCAGACTCGGATAAAACACTTTGAACCATTTAAAACGTGAAATATATTTTTTATAGTTCCGGACTCAGCCGCCGTTGCATGTACGTGGTCACATGTGACAATATATTCTGCGTTTAAACTCTACTGAGCGTATTTTACTCGTTTGGACTGGAAACCCGAATTAATATGACAGATACAAATGGTTTACCGTGCTCTCCAACGAATTGATGTTTTTTTTTTATAATATTCCAAATACCGAACTAGCCTTTCGACAAATCCAGGGAATTGTTCGACCGACGAGGCAGTCTATACTCTATATTAATAGCCCTTGATTCCGAACATTGACATAGTTATATCCTCATTATAAAAAAATTACTGTCCCATTCAGCAAAGGCTTACTGCTTCCATTGCACTATATATATTGCTAGCCTGGTAAAACCAGAAGATTGAATACCAGAAGATACCTAATTGTTCCATATTTCTACTGAGGTAATTTTGACACTTTTTTAACATTTTATTACTCCATACTGAAGTATCATACTTGCATATTTTAAAAACAGTATTACTGCCGACAATTTGAAATCCAATACAATGCAACTAAGATCTCACCTTGGAAACTTTACAGAAAAACTTAAGAGTTGTAGAACGATTATGTTAATTCTACAATTGCTAGCTGTTTCGCTTTCAATTTTCCAACACGACGTTATTGGGCATAATCATTATTAGCTTCTGTTGCGAATTGGAAGTCAACCATTTGCTAACACCGATATTAAATTAACGAAGATTTCATTTTGAAAACGTTCACTTTAAAAGTTAGAAATATGGAAACACAATTAGATTTGGGCGTCGAAAAAATCTTTAAAGCGAAGTTGAAGATTTTTTTTGCATGAAAATGGCATGAGTCTAACACGGAAAAATACTAACAATTTAATCTTTTTATCTACAAACACAAGGTATCAGATAAAAAGACATCTTTAATTAGTATCATTAATATACAGATTGAGTTTTTTTATCACAAAATATTTTCCTAAGGAAATAAAATGAATCTTTGCACCATTCTGCCTGTTTATTTTTAAATATGTATCTATTATATTGCCTACGTATTGATGGTGGCATATTGACTGTGGCCTGGCAAAATCTTGATTATTTTCGTTACAGCTGATTCGTATCTTAATTAAGATAATTGAAATATTCAGAAAGCAAAACTTTAGCTGATTTTTCTAATATCTAAACTCAATTGTATGTATAAATATTCTTTCCGAGAATCTTAACAAATAGATTAGGATAATTTCCTACTTCGGGACCGATAAGTCTACTTTGTTACCGGGAATCCGTCATCAGAATATCGTACTGACAAAAGACAAAAGTCGCGCGCCTATACCCCTAACAGTCTCTCAAATACGTCATAATGTTTGAAAAGCGTTTACCAAACTTGACTTTTTCTACTCTCGTGTAGGATCGCGTTCCAAAAAGAAACTCTGATGATTAATGGCTGTACTGCTAAAAGCAAATTCTTGTGTTATCAAATTATCAATGATAGTCACAACACAAAATGTCGATGTTATGAAGTGCTGATAACGTTATCGTGTCACGCCTTCGATTATCTTTGTTTTTCGAGTGTTTTTTATTTTCAGATATTGTGAAATACAGGCACGGAGATAGCACGCCGAAAGTGGATTAAGCTACTTCAGAAATGAGAGTATGTGAGGTGTAACTAAGTAAATACTATTGCGGACTTTACACAAATATTGCACATTATAAATAAATTGTTTCCATAGAGAAATAAAATACTTTTAACGGTTCAAAATGCGCAATGTGTAGGTAACTTATTTACCATGGCAATGGATGGATGGTTCTCGGGGCTTTTCGCATATTTAAATGTGTACTATTCGCGTAAACAGACAACACTTAGCTTCCATATTATATGAAATATAAAGAGAATATAGAAGTGAGGAGTAATTTTATTAGAAGATTACTAAGTAGTTCACCAGAAAACTAGTCAGTTTGTAAAGTCTGTCTATATAATTATAATATAACCTAATTTTTACATATAATATATATTTTTTTAAATTTGCCTTCAACGAGACGTTTTATTGAATATTGGAAAAAAATGTTTTCGGTCAGACAGAGCACAAGTCTGCTAAACCACAAGTTTGTAAATTAAATCGAAAACAAGAAAACGCTCACTCTCTTATATTAATCTATTAAAAATATATATTAAACAATCATATATATATATATATATATATAGCATTTGAAGAACTTTTGCTGTTTCAACTCGATTCATATTTGTATGCAGTTGTGAGAACAATGCAATGGCCACCTATTGACTGTTCTAACAATCACTCGTTTAACTGTCTCTTAATTACTAGTTAATATGAATTGATGCGACATGTCATCGAGTATTCAGTTTATTTATTTTAATTTTATTAAAAAAAATCCTACAGCTAAAAGTATTATTTTTTAATTAGACAAGAGAGAGAACTTACAATTTCCCAAGTGGTAAATACACTTTAACAGTTTAAAACACGATATAAGTATATGTTACACTTATTTGGAAATTATTTAAACTACCACAGCAACAGTTTGCAACAGGCGTGGTAAAAGCACTTTAAATGCACTTTACTCACTGTTTATAGACATACATAAAACCAAGAATTTAATTGAGGACGATATTCCGAACAAGGATTCAATTCCTCTATATAAATTAGGTACCTCAATTATTACATGTATTACAATTCAAATTAATATAAGTTAGATAAATAATAATTGTAGAACATGGATCACGAACTCCATCTAGTGTAAACTGGAGATACAACAAATAACTATAATTTACTAAAAACTGTCACTTACACATACAGATAACCTACATTAACAAGATAATTTAATATAAAAAATCACGATGTCATACAACTCCAGGTGGGGGGCAATTCTCATAACGATCGCGAATTGTCAAATTTGAATGGAACCAATATCTAGAACTACTTATGTGTCTCGTTAGATAATATTCCACCAATTCACTGAAAACCACTGACTACAGTAAGCTAAGGTAACTTCTCTGTTGATATAAGAAACAACACATCTTCATTACTCACGCCGCGCATCTGTCAGCGGGACGTGTCATCAACGTCATTAATCAAGTGACGTCACGCTGATAACTCGTTTACATATCAGGCCGGACGTCGCACAAACGCGTTTTAGCGGTCAGTTTCACTTTACCTCGATACGTCACAAATACGTTAATTGTCTTTAGTTATCAATATGGACAGAGTAAGGAATCAGGTGAAGTTTAAATGTAACTTGGTTTAGTGTCATCTTATATTCAAAAGTATATTTGTTTACCTCCGTTATACATATAACAATAACATACCTACAATTTTAAATGATACATTTCTTAATACTGTCTGCAGTTAACGCGAGTAGCACACGTTTAAATAAAACACTTTAACGGTTTAAAACGCGATATATATTAGTTAAACTTATTTGAAAATTATGTGTAATTGCGGCCCGACGTTTCGGATGCTTTGCAGCAACTGGTCTCCCCATGACCACGGAAGATACATTTCTATTTCAATGTGTGTGATAATGAAGCCCAAGGAAGAATTAAATAAAATTAAAAGATTCTAAATTATTACCACTATTTGTACCATGTTACGTTTCTTCCTACTTAACAAACAACAGAGAAGGAAATGAAATGTATTTTGGATTGCAATTTTAACAGTAAGAAAATTAAAAAAAAACACTTTACGGTTTAAAACGTGAAATTTATTAGTTGAACTAAAACAT